TCACATGAGGAGTTACAACACTTAAGTCAATTTAGGGCTTTTTAAGACCTCCCTTTCTTATAAAGGGTATTTAAGATATTTTTGCTTTTATTTTTTATTAAAAAAAATTAGTTATAGGGAGTAGTGTGGTAAATACATAATAGCATCGAGTGGAAAATTGTTGGAGGTGAAATGGAAGGGGGCAAGTTACTCACTTTTGAAGCTACATGAACTAACTTGCTCACTTTAATTTATACCACATGGGAATTGTGCTCACTTGGTGAAACAGGTTTTTTTTTTTTTTTTTGCACTTTTGCCCTGTAATTATTTTTAAAGAAGAAAAGAAAACATGTTAGATGTTTGGCAATACATTATATAAAGTATTTTTTACAATTACTTTTTAATTTGTTTGGTGACAATATTTTTTAAATCAATTCCATTACTAATTTTACAGTAGTTTCCTTTAATAAAATGTTACTATATTTGACAATAACAACTTTATAAAAAAGTGTATGAAATTGTTTTTATTATATACATATATATATATATATATATATAATTGCCTAAGATAAAAAAAAATTACCAAAAATATAGAATGCAGATTTAAAAGTTAAAAATTTTAGGGTCCATTTGACATGCATTATGATATTGTTTTTTATATATTGATATCCAAATTTGGGCTCATATCATGTTTGGAATGATTGATATTTGTTTGGAATAGTTCATAACATATCAGATTTTTTTGGCCCAAATCCATATCACCAAATTGGTGATATTGTGTGTTTTGGTATTGTAGCGGAGCAATTAAAGTAAATTTTCGAATTTCCTAAAACAAATTTTCGTTACCAAACATGGTTCCTGTTACTGATTTCTATCTAAAACACTCCTACAACAAAGCGGCAAACACATCGCATGCCAAACAGACCCTTAGCTTTACTGAACTAAAATTATTTTGGTAAATTTTAAAAGTTACTAAACACATTTTAAAATATATATTTTTAAATAAAAGCTCGTTTTAAGTGAATCAACATCAATCTCAAATAGGCTCTAGTGTATTTAGCATTCCTAAATATTTAGGAAGCACGAACACTTCTACGAAGGAGTCGTAACAATGGTCATTTGTCCCACATCAGAATCGGATGTGATTGGGTATAAATAGGTGGGTATGTATCACTACCCAATAATTCGAGCTTTTGAGTAAATGGGCAAGTATTCACCCGTTACAGTTAGTATCAGAGCCAGACCCAGTCCTTAATCCGGTGTCACGCCAAGCGCTCGCCTGAAAGGCGTTTGGGTGAGCACTCCGGGTAGGCAAGGTGGCCCGAGCTGCAACGAGGGCGTTGCGAGTTTGGGTGGGGGAGAATGTAACAAGGGTCATTTGTCCCACATCGGAATTGGATGAGAAAGTGATTGGGTATAAATAGGTGGGCATGCAATACTATCCAATAATTCGAGCTTTTGGGTAAATGAGCAAGCGCCCACCCGTTACAGTAACACCAACACTCCTCGAACATTCCTCGAATACATGTCTGACACTTCATATAGGTGTCCATAAATAAAAATTAATTTTATTATTTCAGACACTTCACCGACACTTTGCGAACACTTCTTCAGCACTTCTCGGACTAACACAAGTCTACCCAGTAATCTTGAAAATAATATGAATACCAGCATGACAAAGTAATGAAATAATGGTATATATGATATAAAAATGATTACAATAATGACATAATTTCATTTTCTAATTCATTCTAGAGCAACACTTAGTATAAAAATTAAAAATGAATTAAAGTTTTATAATACTATTACTGAATAGATGTATAATAATAATAATTTATATTATTATGTAGCTATATTCATGCCGCACTCGTGTCTTACTTTTTAAAAATTCGACGTATCCGTGTCTGTACCCCGTGTCCGTGTCCGTATCGGTACTACATAGCTAAATATTGTGCCATTTCTTTACCAACCAACACATTTTTTGCCATTATAACTATATAATAAAGATTGGTCAAGAAGTTATAGCATTTCCAATCATAAATCTTAGTAAGTGAAGGATTATGACATATTTGAAGTATGATTTATAATAGAATTATGATACAAATTATACCGGAAGGATAAAGGCATTTGGACAGTACATGGCCAATAACATATGGACACGTTTTTATTAAAAATAGAACATGTTTATTTGTTACTACCTCTGTTCCAAATAAGATGTCCTGTTTGGGGAACCGTGACTCATTCGCGGTTCCCCAAACAACACATCTTTTTTGGGACAAAAGTAGTATTTGGTTACGTAGTCTCACTAGTGAGGACAGGGACGGAGCCAGAAATTGTTTTCAGGGACACATTGTAGTATTGTACACCATATCAAAAATTTATAATATAATGCACATATATATATATATATAGAAAGAGAGATATTTTTAGGATGAAATTAATTTATAGATATAGAATATAAAGATTAAGGAAACAATTTAGTATAAGGGTTAAGGAAACAATTTAGAAGAAAAAAAATAGGAAATATAAATATAATTCTATAAAGGCTCTGTTTGGTTAGAAGGAAATAAGCTAGAAAAGAAAAGAAATAGAAAGTGAATAAAAAGTGAAGTGAATGAAAAGAAAAGAGATTTTCTAACATGCATTTAGTTAGCACTAAAATTTATTCAAGAAAATTATAGAAAAATATTAGTTTGTTAGTTTAGATAGCATGAAAGTGAAAAGAAAGTGATTATGCATGCCAAAACTACCCTTATAAAGTAAAATGATGGATTATTAAATTCAAATATATAATTGTTTATATTCGTTTTTATTATTTATATTTAGAATAAGGCTTCATAATATTTCCTATAAAACTAATTATTAGTTTAAGATAAACTAATTAAAAAAAATAAAAAATTAGAGATGTAGAGGCCATATTACTGTTTGGGAGAAAAATAAAATATTTCACCATATAAAATATATAAATATATAAATATATATATATATATATATATATATATATATATATATATATCCAAACCAGATTATGAGTGGCTAGAATTGCAACATAGAGCAGACAATTAAAAAAAAATAAAAAATTCTATTTAGAAGTAGAATCTATTTTGAGCAATTTTACCCAAATTATCATTGACATTATGTATATATAATATAATTTGCCTTGCGAACTTAATTACCTTAGAATAGAAGTTGTTTTGGAGAGAACTTTGCATGATTAAATTACTGAGTAAAATAGGGACTGCAACTAAAAATTACTGAGTAAAATAGGGACTGCAACTAAATAAACGTTTCTTTCATGCGAAAGTGTGATTTTTGCTGGAAAATTTTTGTTTTCACTGGAAAATTTTTGAAGAAAATACTCAATAAGGGAAACTAAATTTTTCATTAGTTTTCTCATTCTATCTATTAAAACTCTAACAAAGTTTAATTTTTTTTTTTTTTTGGTTTTTCTTTTCTATCTGTTTCCACCTAACCAGACAAAGCCAAGGGAAGGAGAAAATTCAAAATATATATATATATATATATATAATATATAAGAGAGGAAGAAAATCTAGAGAGGCACGGGGCCTTAACTCCCTCACTCCCTGAGTGAGGACTAAGTATTATCTAAAGTATGTAGGGTCTCAATTACGTAACAAACAACTAGTAGAATCAGAATTGGAGTGATTCGTGTTTAGAAAAAGGATTTAGAAAAGAGAGGGGAAAAGGGGAAAAAAGAGTAAATATTCCATGCATTTTTTACTTTTCATTTCCTATTCTTTTTGCTGATCTTTTTTCCTTTTACATGAATAACAATTTAAAGGTTAGTTAAAAAATATGAATTGTACAATTGTTTTTTTATTTTTTTATTTTTTTGCAATTAGCCTTTCTATTTATTAAATTTTGCAATTTCATAGAGATTATTTGTCAATGAGCTTATGAAAACGTAGATGTAAAATTTCGTTCACGAGCTTATACAGTTGCTAGAATTTAAAGGTTTCAATTGAATCAAGTCGGTCAAACTTGAGACTGTTGAGACTCATTACTTTTAGGCTTAGATTTGGCTAGACATAAACTCTCGGTAAGCTTGAAAATTTCAAGTAGTCAAGAAAATTATTATTAATGTGCCAAGTTAAAGTCTGGTATCATATTACGAGGTTCTTAATAGTTGGATGTAGTGGTAAGACTCACTTAATGGATGATTTAACAGTTAAAAAGTTCCAGAGTACGGACCTGGAGTATTGTAAACTTTCATACTTTTTTGCGCCCTTTTGTATTAAACAAATTTGCAGAAATGTCATTCATGAAAGTTATTCGGTCGAGAATGGTGAAAAAGAGATGTTGGTCTCCCTTGGCACCGAAAACTGACAGCAGCAGCATTCATCCTTGAATCTACAGAGTTGAGTGAAAATGTTACGGTTGGTCTGCCAATGACAGCTACATATTTTCTCTGTTTTGATTCAATTTATAGTAGTAATTATTGGGATGTGTCAATGGGGTGTATCAGTTAGTGTCTTCCCAATAAATGATTTGGCATCAAATTGTGGTTAGCTGACAATTGCGTGTCAGACATGTATCTGGCACGGCCACAGCACCCCCTAAGAAGTGTGTTCATGCTGCCGAGGAGAAAGTGGATGGGTCGCTCGATCACTGACACTCACACCACATCGTAAGGCTTGCCCAAATCTATCAGTTTGTTGAATTAGCTCAAGTTTAAACGACATTCAATATGAAAAGTCATTCACAAGAGTAATGCCTGATGAGAAGGTATAAACTAAAAATGGTGACTTCAATATACGAAGAGATCGCTATTGCGGAATATATGGAAAAAGTCATATGTCACAGTGTATCTCAAGAAGATTATTTTTTTTTTTTTGAATATGTAACCTCCATGTTATCATGCAACAAGCTTACTATTGAGCCAATATTGGCTATGATAGAAATATCATACGACTTTAAATCTACTTGGCATTGAATGAAATATTGAGGAAACATACAAGGAGTATAGTTTTATAGAGAGAGAGAGAGCTGCATGTAGCTAGTTATGAAAAGTGCAATAACTCATATTATAATCGCACTAGTAGCACAATACAGGATATATTAGTAAACGCAAGTATATAGATTACACACCATGCAACATATATATAATATAATATATATATATATATATAGATAGATATATTTTAAATTGCATATATAACTTGCAAACACAAACTTATCTACAACAGTTTCCTCAACCATGGTTGTTCTTGTCCCTGGGGACCAAGGGCGAGTGATTGCCAGAACCACCACTTCCACCACCACTGCCACCTCCAGGACCACCAGAACCACTTCCAGATCCATAGCCACCTCCACGAGCACCACCGCCACCAGATCCATATCCCGACCCGGAACCCGACCCCGACCCTGACCCAGAACCTGAACCAAACCCAAAACCCCTCCCAAAACCATTTGGGGACCGGCCCGACCCCGAACCGTAACCCCAACCACTTCCAGGGCTCGAACCCCATCCCCAGTTGTAATCCCAATTCGGACCATGGCCCGAACCACTACCCCCGGTTGGGGTATCGGATGGCCCGTTAGGGCCTGAAAGTACTTTGGACGAGGCCACTTTTGTTCCGCCAACGTTGCCGGCGGCGTTGGAAGCCCAAAAATGGGCGGAGAGCAAGCATAGAAGGACGAGAGAGAAGTGAAATATTTTGGGCTGCATTTTCTCTGCTCGCAGTGATGGTTCTTTTTGGGGCTGTATTGAGTACTAGCTTGTGAGTATTGCAATTGAGGATGAGAGTGAGTTAGTGCACGGTTAGTGCTATTTATTAATGGAGTCTGGTGTGACATGAGCACCCGTGACACGAACGACCCAAAGCGTGTGTACTTGTCGGGATGAGAGGGTGTGGGGTCACAATATATATATATGTGTGTGTGTGTGTATGTATATCATAATATCACCACGTATTATTTGCACCACCGCCACCAACTATTTGTAGCTAGGAAAGTAAATTCAACTAATGGGCATTTTTGAAAAAGTATATTTAGTTTTGAGTTCAAATTTGGCCAAGTCCTCTATTATCTACCTGAATTTAGTGTTTTTTTTTTTTTTTTAATTCGGCATGTACCATCTACCATTTTATAGAACTAGAGTTGATTTTCAACCCATGATTAATTTAGATCAAAGCAAGCATGATGTTTCAGACAACTAAATATGTAGAGAATCTACCATTTCAATGTTATACACTAATCATAGTGAAACTAGATTACTAAGACCAATTGAGGAACAACTTGTTGAAAATCTTTTATGAAAGAACGAAACTAAGGGCAAACATCATTGTTTTCAACCCATGATTGATTTTTAAAATATCATTTTATTAAATAGATATTTGAGGCACATTGCATGTTACCTTTTTAGTATACTTATTCTACCTTGTTAGTATACTTATTCAATCAAATTTTAGTATACTTATTCTACCTTGTTAGTATACTTATTCAATCAAATATAGTCAATATCTACTCTTATTCTTTCATAATCTATTCTTAAAATTTCGAAGTTTCTAAATGTTTTTATGCGATGTACAGAAAGTGTTGTAGTATATTTAACGAAACGAATTTCAACCCTTACACATGCCAACACTTACATCATATGAGCTAAAATTCATTAGATGTGGTAGTACACGTACCGCACACCGCAAAAGATTTCAACTTTTCGAATTTGTGTTCACCCAATAAGAAATTATTAATGGTTAAAAACCTATCAGGAAAAAAAGGTCATTTTGATGAATTCAAGATGCGAAATTCTTTCAGATAAATTACGGCCTAATAAATAATTGATGGAGAATGGGCCTCTCAAACTTTTCGTGATTGTAGCTTTTAGCCGGCCATGCCTTGTCATCATATGCATACGTGTACGATTAGGATAAAAATGATAGTGAACCGACCTTGATAGTCCAATTTGCGATGACGTGTTGATGACATAACTCATTAAGCTTAGACATATAATCTATGTTGATGACATACACTTTTAAGAGAGCTCTACGTGTTCGTATTGAACAAGTATTCAATATTTTATATATGTATTCGTAAATAAATAAATAAATTATTATTATTTTGGACACTTTCTCAATACTTTTAAACACTTCTTGAGCTTTTAGACTAGTACTTATAAATATTTCTAACACATACGTACTCAATAATTTTAAAAATAGTATAAACACATTTTAAAGTGTTTAAACTTTTTTCTTGAAAATTTTTTAGCATTATACACATATGACGGTAAGCTAAGAGCATTAAATAATATTTGTTCATTTAAAAAATAAATACTATAAAAATTGTTCATAAACACTATGAAATATATTTAAACAATATTTGTATAAGCACTATTTGTTCATTTAAACACTATATGTAAGAGCATTAAGGGTTTAACTCATAGTATAAAAATTAAAAATGAATTTAGTTTTATAATATTACTATTCAATATATGTATATAAATAAAAATTTATATTTATATATAGTCATGTTCAAATTATAGTTGTGTGTTTTGTTTTTTTAAAATTTGACAAGTTGGTGTATCTGTGTCGTGTCATATTTCCATATCTATATACATAAGCATATAATGATAGGGTTGACTGAAATAAATTTATTTTTATTTATATATTGATCATATGATACAAGAATTCGCTCGTAAAATATCTAAGAAAATGATGTCAATTACTGTAAAAACAGTTCAAGAGAGAAGAGAATCTACTCGATGCCCTTTTTAAATTGGATGCATAACATTATATATATATATATATATATATATATATATATATATATATATAAAAGTAGGGTGTATCCCCTTTTACACCGATTAATAAGTGCGAATGGTTGGGTGTCCGCAAAAAACAGGTTCTTTTCTTCTTCTTGTGCTCTAGTAGTGGATCAAATTTTGACCACCACCTTAGGGGATGCATCATGGGACAAAATGTTGACAAGTGTAAATTCTTTTCGTGATATTCTTCATGATGCTTTTACTAAAAATTATATATTTGCACGATTAAGTGTAACCGAATAATAAAAAATTAACACAAAATGCATCCCACCTTCCAATTTCTCTTTAATGTGTTGTACATATATATATATATATATATATATATGCAAGTCATTTTTGTACCCACTAGAAAAATCTAAAAGCTACCTCACACGTGTATGGACCCTATTCCACTTCTCATTCTTCTACGTCAAATCAATATATATATATATATATATATTCTTTGTGAGGGTCACAAATTCACAATGATGACATTCAATCAATTCCTGCAAAATGTACAGAGTTGTGTGACTTTTTTCTGTAATTAAAATGAACACTTTTTTAACCTAGACATTTTATCTTATCAATGGTTTCGGATACACTTTTTCTTCTTGTTTGCATGTTGTAAACGCACTTCAGACAATAAATCGTGGTTTAAGACAATTATTTTTAAAATATGATTTAGTGTATTGTAACAAAGGCTTCAATATCATTATTTTGGGATTCGAAATAATTGCTTTGAATCACAATTTAAGACTATCTTCATTTATAAGTTAATTGATGTTCTAATTCAATTTGAACTCATGTTCAAGTTTATTCGTAAAATTATATTCGCATAGACCTAATTTTTTAGTTGAATTTTTTTTTTTTAAGCTTTTGACACCATAATTTCAAGTTTCAACACAATTATTTTTAGCTTTAAATAATTGTGTTGGACCATAATTTATTGTGTTAACCGCGACACCGCGCTATATCACAGTCACGATAAAGTGTAACGCACATAATTTCAAGGGTTAGTTGTTTGCTCACTATTCTTTTCACAAAATTCACAAAAGTTTAAAAACCCGTATTCATGTATAATTTTCTCCAATATCTCAATACATATGTGAGCTTTGTTTATCATCTATATAGCTTTAAATTTTGATAAAGTTTTGATCCAAGTTAGCAGGGGAGGGGGAGGATGGAGTGAGTCAACCCTCACTCCCACACGACCTATGAAAATGTCTATATCAACTGGGATATTCAGCTCATCCCCTTAACCAAATGCATACTAAAAACTTAACTTTTCTTTATTTCACTTTTATTTTTCCCTCTTAAATTTCCGTTCAACCAAATAGACCCTAAAGATTGGTTTCATAGAAAAATTCAAATGATACATATGGATTAAAGATTGGTTTCATCTAGAAATTCAAATGATGCATATGGATTAAAAAATAATAATAATAATTTGGTGATCGGTTTTTGCTACCGACATTAAGAATTTGCTATTTATTATTATTTTTTTTATAGCAAGAAAATTAGAGGTTAGTTATTAGAGGAATCCAATGATTCAAATAACACCGTACTTTGGTGAAATATTGTTTATTAGGGAGACCCTATTGGTTTGAAGTACCAATCCCTCAATGGCAACTATTCAAATGTATTGCCAATCCAAAATATCTACCCATTGGAATCCAAAATATCCAGAACTTAAGAAGAAGAAATAGTGTCAGGCCCAACTTTGGACATGTTTAGAATCTAGGGCACAAAGTAGATATGCCCATGGCCATACCTCACATGCACCCACTATCCAAAGTCAAGTTGGCCAACTCTTGCGGACCCAACCCCACAACTTCAACATACAACTTGAGTTAGCCATGCCCCAATCCATGTGTACTCCACTTCCCCTTTCACCACGTAGTTTGATTGGTGATCACAGTTCAAGAAATGGTCATCACTCTAATCTCATATATCTTGGACCAGAACAAAAACTAGGGCAAATTAAAGCGGGCCCGAATCTCTTTAGTGAAACAATATGACCTGTTCGGTCAAATTCGGATTGCACCTTATAAAAATATTAGGATGTTGCTAAGAATGGTAGGACATGTTCCTTTCAATTCGAAATGTATCTCACAAAAATATTAGAATATTTAGCAATATCCTAACATTTTTGTAAAGTGCATTACGAATTGAACGGAACAGAACCAGAACAAAAATTATGACACATTAAAACAGGCCCCAATTCTCTTTCATCCGATTCGGATTGCACCTTACAATCCGAGTTGAACGAAACACGATCTAGGAAGGAATTTTCTTCCCACTAAAGCCAGCTGAGTGAACACGTACCCATTATCTGAGCCAAGTTGGCTTAGGCCCCCTTACCCAAACTCTTCAAAACGGATCCAACTCCATAAGATGAACATGCATCTTGAGTTTATGCTGGTCTGACCCATGTGCATCATTCATCATTCAGAATTGACTCACTGGCATGCAAGTTGTATTGATAAATTTGATGGGCATATAAAAAAAAGTGTGAATTTATTGATTTTTTTTTTTTTTTGTGTTAAGAATCCTAACTAAAGTGAAAAGAGATATATTTTAATATAATAAATAAAATATGATTCATAAAATTTAATTTCAATGACTATTCTCAATTAAAGATTTAACGCATGAATTGAAGATCAAATGAGTTTCTCCTATATACATATATGTAGAAAATTTTTGTTTCTGGGTACTTTTGATTGATTGAGATTTTAAGTTTTATACATGCGCTCAAACATACATATAATAGTTTTTACTTATCGTGTTAAGTTTGGGTAAATTATGAAGTTGGCCTTATACACGGTAATAAAATAAAAATAATAATAATAATAATAATTCCTCTTTTCAAGTTTGGCAAATCTGCTAAACAATGTCCCACCCGTTAACCTGGACATTAGAACTGAACCTTAAACAGATCATTGTGACGATGGATTTGCCTTTTTTATTGACTCAAAATAGGTTAATAATTTTCAAAATTATAAAGTTACAAACTTACAATAATATATATATATATATATATATATATATATCTATATATATATTCCTTTCTCTTTCCATCCAAAAATATTTTAATGTTCCTAGTATAAAATAAATAAATGCACTTTTATAATTCATTTATTTTTGAATCACTAATATAATTTATTCATAACATTGATAACATCAACAAGCCCAAAGCTATACACATCACTCACCTCCCCATAATAGTTTTATAAATTAATTAGACTAGAATATTCAAGATTTGTATGAAACTTTAAAGAATACTTTACTATCTTAGATATTTTTTTATAATTATTCTATAGAATCGATTTAGAGTAGTGATTATACTTGCATCTATCAAATCTTATATTGAATTAAAAAGTAGTGTCACTCGTTCAATGATTTACACTTCTATAATCGTTGTAATGGTTTTAGCCTTGCCATTGCCTCTCTAATTTGCTAATTGATATCTCTGTTTACAGTCCAGATTTTACTCTCTATTTATAAGTATCTCCATCCTTAACAGACAGCTGAGATGCAATCTCACCATAAAGATCATTCCTTTATAACTTTCTCCGATCTTTACTACATATCTACAAATATGTATAATATTCTAAAATTCTTCATACCACCCTATACAATTCTGAAAAATTTTAGAATTTTTCATACACTTTTATAATATTCTACACATATCTAAAATCATTCACACAACTTTAGACAACTCCGAAAAACTCTAAAGACACCTCTCGTCATGTAATGGACACGTCCATCTTTCATACACTTCTATAATATTCCACACATATCTAAAATCATCGACACAACTCTAAATAACTTTGAAAAACTCTAAAAACTCCACTCACTATGCAATGTACATGTCCACCGGAAGTCGATAACCTTCGTCACCCTCAACATTTATCCTCTTGATAGCTTCAATAGTTTACTGAAAGGCTTGGTTGGGGTAACGGGACGAAAAGTCTAAAATTGTACATAGATGGTAAGTTAAAGTACTTCTGTTTCAACATGATAAAATAATTAAAAATTTGATATGAATTTGGGTCGAGCCGATTTAGTAATAAACCCGCCCACCACCGCTCCATGTACTATTAAAATATATATATATATATATATATATATATATATATATATAATATTTAAGGATGATAATTTTCTTCAAACCAGAGAGTTTTCCCTCCTTGCCCCGTTTCTAATGGGATGAATTTGGTAACCTCAGTTTGAGAGGGAACGGATTTAGTGATGAAGCCACAACCATCGCACCGATTATATATATACTTTTATTTATATATATATATATATATATATATATATATATATATATATATAATATTTAATATTTTTAAAACCTTGCTACTTTGTTAAAAGTGTCTCTTAATATATTAATAATATTCTTAAAACCTTGCTACTTTTTTAGAAGTGTATGTTAATATATTAATAATAGTCATTATTTAGTAATCTTATTCAGCCCAATTTTAGCAAACTAGAATTTATATTATTCACTATAATCTTATTATTGAGTCCAATTTTAGCACATTAGAATTAATAATATTCACTATTTAGTAATCTTATTATTCAGCCGGATTTTTTTTTTCTTCTAAATAATATTTTTATTTTTACTAAAAAATATAAAAGTGAAATAGTCCACGGAGTCAATTGATGCAATATTCCGTAAGAAAGGAGATGGAAGGCGGTAAAGAAGATATGGATGTAACTTTGCCAAATATTGTATGGATTGTGAATTCGGTGTTATGTATAGGGATTTTTACTAGTACATAGGCTTAAGACCCAAATACTACCATAAGATAAAGTCAAATTCTTAATTTATCAAGAAAATGAGGGACCACATAACTTTTTCTTACAAATGAAAAGGCTATTCAAGTATTTCTCTAAAATGGACTATTTTTTACTTTAGACCACAAAATAATTTATATTGATATTTTGACCCAACAAAATATGTTATTATATCATAAAAGCTTTAAAACATAAAATAAGTTTACGGAAAGATCCTTGAACAACTATTTAATATTTTTAACTAACTATTTTTCTTTACTTTTTAATTAAGATGGATTAATATGGACTTATAGATTTCTTTAGACAAAAGATCTTATATATAAATTAAATTTACCAAAATTGAGTGTATTAATGTATTGAGTGTATTAATGTATAAACAGAATGTATACATATATATTTTGTACATGAAATAAAATAATCCAGTTTGCCTTGTTCCAAATTCCTTTTCTTATCTAATATATAGATTTTATTTATCTAGATAATGTAGATCAGAATTTTCTTAATTTTACAGAGTTGACTCAAACCGTTAAGGGGGCGTTATGATTTAATTGTTATTTTATTCCCTATATACTGTTTAGTTAAATTTAATTGATATAATAACATATTTAATTGATATAATAACATATTTATTTTATTCCCTATATACTGTTTCGTTAAATTTCCTTATTTTATGTTTTAAAGTTTTTATGATATAATAACATATTTTGTTGGGTCAAAATATCAATATAAATTGTTGTGTGGTCTAAAGTAAAAAATAATACATTTTAGATAAATACTTAAATAGTCTTTTCATTTGTAAAAAAAGTTGTATGTCCCCCGTTTGCTTGATAAATTAAGAATTTGACTGATCTTACGGTAGTATTTGGGCCTTAAGCCCATGTATTAGTAAAAATCCCGATGAAAAATCCCTCACATAAAATACATAATAATCATCCTTCACGAATGAATAAATTTATCAGAACCATGAGACCTGCAACTGCACAAAATTCTTATTCCAAGAGCATCTCCCACAATAATTCTCAATACTATTTAGAATTCTCAATCCAGAGACGTCAATATCACGATCTGATACAAACTTTAACAAGCATGTGTGAGGATCACACAAAGAAAAGGATCAAACAATGTCCATATACTTTGTGATGCATAATTATATGAAAAGGATCCAACAATGTCCATATACTTTGTGATGCATAATTATATGTTTTAACATAAAAAAATATAATTGTCATTTAACCAAATTTTATGGTCTAAAAAATATATATATATGTTAAGCTTGTAACAAAATTGATCCCAAAATAAAAATTAACTTGCAAAATAGTAACACAAAACATAGACTAGTTTCTATCCCATCATAATAAAAAATAAAAATAAAAAACTTTTTTGAAATCCGTTATTTAAAATTGCAATTTTAATTTTAAATTGAGATTAACAAATAAAAAAAACAAAAACCACAACAGAGCAAAAACATAACTAAAGAATATTACACAAGAACTTCAACAAACATTAAGAGTGACCAGATTCAGTAGCAAACTTTTGAACATCACTAGAAATGAAATCCTCAGATCAAGTGTTGGATTAATTATTTTTTGCTTCATCCTCATCAGGTCACAATTGGCATTTAAACATTACTAGTAAAGGAATATATAAATATATATATAATAGACACCAACAGATAAATTAAGAAATAAATAACAAAAAATTGGGAAAAGGGTTACTCAGCAGTGGCAATAAAAAGTTATAGGTTCGATTCTGCCAGCAATCTGTCCTCAACTTGAGTTCAGAAGAGGGAGCTTTTTATCCTCATAGCAACCATTATTCCCCCACAAATAATACAATAAGTAGTACTAAGAAAAGATTCAACATATCAGATACATATATACATACATACATACATATACATACATATATATATATATATACACACATATAAATAGAGAAAATCGCTCAGTTCAGCGGGATTATCGACATGCAAATTTCTCTAGAGAGAGAAACCTGCATTCCGGTCTGTTGAGCTTGAATTTGAGTCGTCACTGCGATCTTCCAAATTTCAACATAAAATAAATACCAATAACAATGAAAATAAAAGAAAAAATTGACAAAAATCAACACGAAATTAAAAGAAAGACCTAGATTTTGCTAGTGAAGGAATAGAATGCCCCATCATACGAAAGTGAAGGAGGCACAATTTGTGGGAAGTCTACGAGGTGCTATGAATTTATAGGAAGTGAAATTAGGGTTTTTTTTCTCCCAACACCGCCTAAGGTTTGTTTGTAAGTAAGAAACTGCGGCCCGGTCCATTGGTTTGTTAAACGGCCCGGTCCATATATGCTCTAATGTGGGAGGTCAGACCATCCCTCTTTACTCGTCCTCCCCTAATAGGGATGATTCAATAACGGTCTCGATCCAGATCCAAACTCAAACCCGGCCTGTGAGAGAAAAGAAAATAAAGAATACCATTAATTATGAGAGAGAAAATGAAAATTAAAATGAAAATGAAAATTAAAATAAAAATAAAAAAAATCCTATTGGATAAATTATGAAGTCAATATATATATATATATATATATATATCATTTTTGTTTGAAAAATGTGAATGAGATAAAAGAAAACAAAAAAATAAAAATATATTTTAACTAAGATACTATCATATCCTAATATTAAGTTTGGACTCAAATATCTTTTAGATTTCTTTTATTAAAATGTTAATGTTATTTTTTATATTATGAAAGTATCACTGAAAACTTAAAAGTTAGTGCCAAGTGTCACTTTTCACATATGAAGCGACATCGAATTAAATATCACTTGTAATGGATTAAATTCTTAAAATCACATAGAGTGTTTTTAATATATAGTCCTCTTTCACAATACAAATATTAAAATGGAAATCTTTAGGTAAAGTGTAAAAGAAAAATTATCAGTTGTACCATATACCGTGAAATCTTCTGGCTTTAATTATGTTGATTTTGTCTGGATAGCTTCCATTTTGTTATTTATTTTTTCTTTTTCCTTTCCACAAAAAAGCAAAAACAAGGATTGAAAAGATATTTTGCTGAATTGATTGTGATTGTACATGTATTATTTATATATTACTCCCTCCATTTAAAAAAAAAAAATCCACATTTTAACAATACCAATTTAACATTCTTACATTGATTTTATAAAAAGTAAGTCACCACATCATTGCGGACTCACTATGATAATTGGTAATTCAGTTACCACCAATATAATAAAAAAAAAACATTAAAAATCATCACCTTAAAATGTTAAGGGTTGTAACTTGTAACTTAAAAAATCCTTCTTATAAATTTAGGTGAAAAAGTTTTTAGATAACTATAAAAGAGACAATTCTATAAAAAACAGACATTTTTATACTGAATTTTAAAAAAATTGAACTAAGAAGAGTTTTTGTATAATTTTTTTATTCTCAATTTTTTAAAAACAAAAAATAATTTTTAAAGTGACAAGCCAGTGTGAGCTAGATTTCCTGAAACAGAATTTTTGAATGAGAGGGAGGATATTCATATTTTTACAAACAGAATTTGTGTTTGTTTTTGGATTTTGCTTTGTATAGTACACATTACCACATATTATTATCTTTTTAAAAAACATAAATAAAGGCTGACCTTTAAGAAAGCAAAAACAGAAAATCAAACTTCTTGTCAGACAAACCTTGAGTTAACTATTTTGCTTATATATATATTTAAAAAAATAATCTCTATCCATGGAAAGAATTTTTATTTTTTGTATTAAAAAAAACAGACTAAAAAACACATTGCAAAATTCAACATTATCCATTCCATATATGGATAATTTATCCATCCAAATACTCGACAGTTGCAAGAATTAGACCAGATGGGTCTCTCTGTTGGACACTTGTGGAGTCAAACCAAATTGCCTCCACTCAAATTTCACTTTATTATAGTATTGTTTTCGAAAGTTAATTCACTTTATTATGCGGAGTATTCACTTCACTATCGCATTTAAACAAGAAAAAAACAAACCAATACCCTCCATACACGTAGCAACAACTTCTCTCCCCTTTGAAAATACCGGTACCCTCCCATTACACTTTCGAAAGATACTCCGTTTGTCTTCATCAACGCACCATGAAAAGGAGAGAGAGAGAGAGGCGTTTGTAGAGAGAGGAGAGAAAGAGTGATCCCAGATAGAGAGGAGCGTTTGTAGGGAGAGGAGGAATAGGGATCCTAGAGAGAGAGAGGGGCTTTTGTAGAGAGAGAAGGGTTTTAAGATGCTATGTTCCGGTCGAATTTTGGCGGGCTCATACCATACAACGCCATTGTTTCTTCACAATCACGCACTATCGAACTCCATATTTCTTCAAGGAAAGCTCAAATCGAACCTCAAATGGCGATCATTGGCATCGGAGCCTGAATCTTCTTCGTTTGCACCTTCAACTGAATATGATTCAACCGATAAAAACGCCTCTGGGTAATCTAATATACTCTTCACGCACACGAACACCTATATATCTAGGTATATTCCGTTATTGTTGTATTTTGTGTTCCATAGTTCATATTAATTTTTCGTGGCTAAATCGCAGATTGCTAAAGCTTATGATATTCTGCTGTACATTTATTTTTTGATTTTACTTGTTGAGTTTATGCCTATACCGATTAACAAAAACGCATTAGATCAACTTAGTTAAATAGCTTACTCAGTAATTCAGTATGTCTGATTAGGACTGTTTTGGAAAAAAAACAAATACAATTTTAGGCTGAATATGTCCGTTCCAACCAGGCGCTCTTTACACTCATACAACAACTACTACTGTTATTATTATTTTTGTAGTGGTAAATCAATTTAGAGATGTTTAAGAGAATAATTAAATGAAAAAGTAAAAATGCTTTCCGGACAATCAGCAGGTGAACCATTTGAATCAGTTATAATTATCTTAGGAATCTTTGAAACAAACCAGATCCTTGTGGCTCAAACAAAAAGTGATTGAATCCGATTTAGAGAAGTGAGTGAAAGGCATGGAACGAGGGTTCGAGATTGATCAGTAAGTGGAGGACCAGTAAGTGGAGGACCGATCCTTTTGCACTGCACTTAATCTGAAACTTGTATTGATCTTAGCTATGTATGGCTGGCAACTACACAACATCAATAATTATTAAAAGAATTACGCAGTGTTTGTTAGCTTGTGAAAGATTATATGTGGTTCATTTGGCCCTATTCAATAAGTAGCTGAATGTATTGACTGTCAACACTGAAATGCCCTTTTGTTGGAAACTATTCTAAATAATTTTTATTTTTTTTATTTTTTTTTATTGTTGTTATGAGTGTAGTCATTTCTATTACTGCTACTGCGTTCTCTATTTTGGTATAGGGGGTTCGGTAATACGTGCAAATAATTAATAAGTGCATAAATTTAAGTTGTTTGATCATGTTTATGAAGAAACATTGTGAAGGGATTGGTTGAAGACTGTTCACTTTGCTGATCCCTTATCAAATTATAATACAAGAAGGATTATGTTAAGATCTATATGGCCTCAATTTGACAACATTAGTTGGAAAAGTTCACATAGCATATTATCCAGTGCATTTTGTATGGCTTTGCTCTTTTAAAACCTTCACCATGCAACATTACCATGCTTCCTATTAGACTTAACATTTAACTTCCTTTCCTGTAGTGAGTACAAATTGCACTTTCAAAAGACTGTGTGGTAACTATTCTTGTTCCTGGATGTCTTTCTCTACTATCCCAAACGCATTCAATCTGCAATAATTTAAAGAATTAGATTCTTGATTTCACAAAATTCACCAGATCAAGCATGTTTAGTCTTGTTAATTTATGGCTGAGATAAACCCAGCTAAAGATGCAAATTAAGGTGTGCGAATAATCCCACATTTAACCTGTTCATATGTGGTGCTTTTTGTTACAGCTTTTGTATCATTGAGGGACCTGAAACAGTTCAGAATTTTTCACAGATGGAACTACAAGAAATTCAGGATAATATTAGAAGTCGTCGAAACAAAATTTTTTTGCATATGGAGGAGGTGAGTTTTAAAAGTAGTACTTTGGTAAAATGCATTAATGCTACAATGTTATGATTTTAATTTTGCAGATAGTTATAGGTTAACTAGTAGATCAATTAATTTCCATCCTAAACATATTTTTGAAGGAGCTGGGATACTATACCTGAATTTGCAGAAATCTGCAATACCAGAATACTCTGGGATTATCTAACAACAAATACCAGACCCATTGCTCAAAGGACAAATGGATCTAATGGAAATGCCAGAATCAAATATAGAACTTGATTGAGAAACAGTTAGTCTTCACAGAACTACTTTTTAATCTCTGTTTATATCCCAGATAATCCTATTTGTCTCCGTGCAGCAGTTGATGTGATTGATGGAATGAAACTATAGCTAATGGTCAAATTTAATTCTCATTCTAGTCTATTTCTTTTTTTTTTTTTCCCTCTATTGCAAAGCTTTCTGTACATCTTCTCCATTGGGACATGGAAATTATGCTTGTACATTGAGATCTGCCCAAGAAAAATCAAAGAGAAAGAAATCTGGGAAACTGATTGATTTCAAGGAGGGAGGTACTTGGGAGCTCGACTCCAAATGCAGCTTTATGATATTTTTAGCATTGTTGTTGAATTTACTTCTGGTTTATGTAAGAATTGATACTCAAGTTAGGTGGCCTAAGAACCCTAGTTGCGATTCCCTAGATATTTTATATTTCTCTTCCTTGACCTTATATCTGAAGACAATTTTTCTTGCTCTAGCAAAGTTGTGATCGTTCGCTTGTTCCTCTTTCATATATGCATTTTCTTTCTTTGCTTAATTTTAGCACATTATGGTCGTTTATTCACTCTGGACGCATTCTTCTCTAACCTAAATCTCACTTTAGCTAACTTCTTTCAGACACAATATGATTAACATCTGAGCCACTTTTGCTTTGTGGACTGTAATGTTTTACATAGATATTACAATTGACATCGTCATTTCTAGTTCCATTTTTACTTTTGAGGCATCATATTATTGATACTTGTGTTCTCAAATTTTTTTAGGTCCGCAGGTTGAGGATACAACAGAGAATCAAGAATGCTGAACTTGGAATCGTAAAGGAAGAGCAAGAAAATGAACTTCCCAACTTTCCATCATTTATTCCATTTTTGCCTCCGCTGGTAGGATTTGTTACAACTAACAAAATATTTGTTTCATTCCACCTATCCTGTTTCATTTTTTCTTTTTTCCCAACTTATCAAAAAAAAGAAAAAAAAAAAAAAAAAAAAAAAAAAAAAAAAAAAATCCTTTTTCCTCTGTAATTATAAATCAGGAAATTCCTCTCCCCCCCCCCCCCCCCCCCACAATAACTTTGAAGACACTTCACTTGGTGACTGAACAAAATATTTCATGCAGAACTCAACAAATCTTAAGCAATACTACGCTACATGTTTTTCTCTTATTGCTGCGTTTATGCTTTTCGGTGGCCTCCTCGCACCTACTGTAAGTTTTTCTGCACTTACAATTAGAATCAGGGAAATAAATAACCAATAAGTTCAGAATATTAACTTTTGTGTGGGACATACTTTGAAATTCATCTGTGTGTGTGCACATGTGTGTCTATCTCACTCTCTCCCCCTTGTGAGTACGTGTGTGTCCCCAGGCATGCCATGCACCTGCCTTCGCCTGCATGCTTGCCCGTGTTGACGACCTGTAAGTAATATCGGGTAAAACATAAAACAGTAATCTCATATTTGTTATTGACCTGTTGGTGATCTTAGGTTTAATTGGATAAGACTTGCCAACTGCATTTGATGAGATTGCTAATTTGCTAATCAGAAATTATGTTTAGATCAAATTGGAGCGGAGTTTGGATCACACCAAGTACAAACTTTCTGTTGTGGCAGGCATACGTTTTTGTGTATGTGTGTGTGTGTAATATTTTATATCATGTACGGTAGATTCTTGAATTAAAATTTCATTTTCTTTTTGATGGGTAATACGCACTTTCACACACCCACCCACTAGTGTCTCAACGGAATTTGAAGCCTCTACCCTTCCACATGGGAGGAGAAGGAGATACTACTTGGCCTAGACCCTTGGTGGTATTCTTGAATTACTTATGCATTGCCTTGGTTAAAAATTCTTGTTATTATGTCGTTCTCTTTTCATGAGAGCGTGTTTGTGCATATACCACAAGTTATGTTTGGTGCAAGTATATTATATATATATTTTTTAATTTATCTTAATGTTGCCTTGAAAAGTGTCTTGCTAATTAATAAAGTCTTAGTTCATCTTTATTTTTATAGAAGTCTTGGTTAAGGTTTGGAAGTACCAAGTGATAGTTTACGGAAGTGGTTAAAGTGTTATTAATGATCTGTGAAGATTCTAAAATTCTATCCAGGAAAAATCAAGGGTCATTAGTAGCTATATTATAAAAGGAAAACCCTTTTTTCTCCGTTGTAACAAGTGTTAACCAATATAATTTTGAGATTTTGTTGCACCTTATTAGCACCCATGAGCTCTCTGCTTTTGACCTTGATTATGAACACATATTGAAAGAAGGTCACGATCGTTTGAAAGAGAACAATATGGGGATTATACATTCAAAATTTTAATTTGTATAAAGTAAATCTCATGCTTAAGAACTTTTATATTCTCTTTCTTTGACCCCGGGAGGTTTTTGACCAAACGGATCTGCATCCTTTGACTAGCTAGTATTTTTATTTCAGGGTGTTTTGATATAAATTTTTTATGACAAGATCGTTTAAATACGAGCAACACAATGATTTTTCGTACTCAAAATGTGTTACTTCAAAGGAGAGCTCATGAAAGTTGCCATGAGGTGCACCTCATGATAGCCTTTCTCATTGTCGTTTTGACAACTTTTCGTGAGGCTTTTCTCAGATTTCCCATTCAATCTTGGCTCCATCAATGATTGGAGTGATTCTAGTTCTTTAATACTAAAAGATGACTATTTTCTTATTTTTGTTTGCTTGCTACTTTCTCCAAGGAATTTTGAACTTCTATGTTAAATTATGTAAAGAACCTCTACACTCAAGTGAAAGGGTGATGGTGGATGTAGTACCACCCTGTCAGTATTCAGACCATAATTTGTACGTGAAAGCCCAAAGAAAGAAGAGGATGATGGACAATTTTTTATCTTCCAGGAAAATTAGTAGTATTTATGAAAAGTACAAATCCTTTCTGCCACATGGCTTCTCCAGGATAGGAGTTTGTAGAATATTTGTTTATGTTTTAATTTTCCCAGCTCTATGGATTTAATTATGACACCTTAATTATTGGGTCAAGTGCAGAAAACACCCCTAAAATATACTTACAGTGCATATCACACCCCTCACGTGCAAAAAACACCCCTAAAGTTTCAATTTTGTGCAAATAGGTCCTTCTGACAAATTTAAACCCTAAGTTGACTAAATTATCCTTGCTGAATCATTTTATAAAATATATAAAAATAAATAATTTTGTAAAATGACCGAAAATGATACTATTGGAGGATCCCCCTCTTGTGCAAAAAAACACCCCTAAAGTTTCAATCTGGTGCAAATAGGTCCCCCTGACAAATTTAAACCCTAAGTTGACTAAATTACCCTTACTGTACCAGTTTATAAAATATATAAAAATAATTAATTTTATAAAATGACAGAAAATGATACTATTGGAAGACGCCGACAATGGACAAGTAAAGATAAAAATATAAGGCGCCTTTTGGCCCTTTTGTTTCTTTGTTTCTTTGGGTTCCGCTCCCCTTTTGAGCGTTTTTAATAAAATCTTACTTATCAAAAAAATAAATAAATAAATAAATAACAAAAATAAAGTGCAAACTAAATCAAACAAAAAAATTTCAAACTCCGAAAACCAGTGCACATTGATATTGAGAATATTTTTTTTAACTTTTTTTATTTTGTTTAACAATGTTGTTACGAAAAGAAAAAAAAACAGTAGAAAAGAGTAAACCGGAATCTCAAAATTTTCAAATCTTTGTTCTACAAATTCTCAAAGTTTTTATTTATTTTTTTGAAAAGTAAAATTGTATTAGAAAGCGTTCAAGAGGGAAATGCGTCCCAAGAGCTATACAAGAACCAAGAAATTCTTAAAGTTTTTTTAAAAAAATGTTTAGAGAAATATATATAGAGAAAAAAGTTTCAAAAAAACTATATATATAATGTAATGTGCACATAACACCCCTATACTATGAGATTAGTAGCATGTATACCCCCTTGGGCATTTTCAGAAGAGTAAAAGGAAAAACGGGTATTACAACACTAATTTATGTCAGAGGGGGTATTTTTGCACAATGTGAAAAGATTAGGGGTGTATTTTGCACCCTTTTTCAAATAGGGGATAAAAGTGCTACTTGGAGTATACTTTAGGGGTGTTTTCTGCACTTGTCCCTTAAATATTTGACTTGAGTTTATTCATAAATCTACTTACAACTTTGGATTTTGGCCTCAATGGTAAACTTTATTTATATCAAGAATTTTATCTTCTTTTTTTTTTTTCCTTCCTTTTTTTGTCATCTTTCGCGGGGAAACCTTTGTCTTCTAATAATTCATTACTGAAAGTATAACCCTGCATCAAGAGATACATGATTCTGGTATGTGGACCATGTCACTTTTTCTAACTGGTGCACTTAAAGCCTTGAAAGGTCTTCTTTGCACATGTCCAAACCATCTTAACCTATTTCCTCTCATTTTATCTCCAATTGGTGCTACTCCAGTCTCCAACCATCTCTCGAATGTGATCATTTCTAATTCTATCTTTTTTAGTCTTACCGCGCATCTATCTCAAGATCTCAACATTTGCATTTCTACCATACTCACTTTATGCAAATGTTGTGTTACATAAATTTTTGGGTTCGTCCCTGGGCAAAAATGTATGTGTAAGCCTACAATAATTGGGTATTCACTTGTTTTCCCTACAGGCATTCTAACTACAGTCACACAACCATTATACATGTCCTTTATTGTGTCAATGTATCCCTTTAAGACTTCTTTCTTTTGTAAAACCTCCATGTTAGGTCTCTGGGTACCTATCATAGGCTTTCTCCAAATCAATAAAAACCATACAGTGATCTCTCTTTTTCTCTCTGTATATTTCCATTAGTCTTCTCAGTAAGTAATAGCCTTTATCGTTGACCTACCTAGCATGACTCTAAATTGATTCTCTGACACTTCCGGCTCTTGTCTTAGGCGTTGTTCAATCACTCTTTCCCAAAGTTTCATAGCGTGACTCATTAATTTAATACCACGGCAATTATTATTGCAGGTCATAAATATGTGAAAAACAAAAAAAAAAAAAAAATTCATAAGATTGGTGAAGGGATGAAACTCAGAATATGTTGGAGAAAGCTTTTAGCAATTCTTAGTGTTTGGATGCCTATAAATTATTAGGTAATATAACATGAAAAATGGGGACGTGTTGAAAGTTGAAATTGTAGTTGGTGAAATAGATATTGAGAAATGAGAAATAATCCATTATGATTTACTCCAAAGATTGGTTTACTAATATGGACACTTGAGGTTTTTTCTACTTCCTAACCCTAGTTTTCTATTTTTCGGATGCTTGTTTCAGTTGGAACTTAAGTTGGGACTTGGAGGCACATCATATGAAGATTTTATCCGTAGCATGCATCTGCCTATGCAGTTGAGGTATATTAATGCAGTGGGAATGTAATTGTTTATATTACCACCTTTTTTTTTTTTTTGATCCGGTTGTTCTGTACTTCACAATTTCTTTCCTTGAAATAGCTTCATGAGCCGCATTTGTTTTCTTTAGAGTTCCTAATTGGTTATGGAATGATTTGTTAAAGGAAAAATGTAATCATGTTGTTCTTTGAACTATGAATTATATGTTTAATGTTGTTCTGTTCTTTTTGGAGCAATATAAAACGTTCCATAAATGGTTGTCTGACATATATCAATGGAGACAATGTAATATGAACTCACTGGTGATGAACTTCAGAACTGCAACGAAAAAAAAAAAAAAACTTCAGAACTGCAACTGGCCTTTAAAGTAAATAGACTTTCTTCTAATGAGTGGAAGTGTAAGAAACGTAAGTTTGGCGGCATCTTCAATATAAATTATTTAAATGATGATTATACAACGTTGCTTCTGTTTTGGTGCTTGAATCTCTTATTGCACAATGCAGTCAGGTCGATCCTATTGTGGCGTCTTTCTCAGGAGGAGCAGTGGGCGTGATCTCAGCCTTGATGGTAGTTGAAATAAACAATGTAAAACAGCAGGAGGATAAAAGATGCAAATACTGTGTTGGAACTGGTATGCATTTTGGAAAGCACCCGATTTTTAGTTCCCACTTCTTTAGTTTTCACCATATCCATTTATATATTCGTTTCTGATAGGTGGTTATTTGTTCATTCATTCATTCATTATTAAAAGAAGAAGAAGAGTAAAAGTTGAGATGGTTGATTTGCTTTATTTAATTATTTGTGGGTATACATGCAAGATTTTCTAACTCCATCCATGCTAAATCTGACTGTTATGGTCCAAAATCCATGTATAAAGCTCCGGGTTAGTGCAATTCCACTAGAATTTCTATTCGGTCCTTCCCCTGTGAAATTTACAAATTCACCTTTATGGTGTTCATTCATCAAAATGAGAAGATTGTGGATGGGAGTAATTTTGTGATCATGTAATCATTTAGAGTTGTAATTGTTGTTGAATTTTTGCAAGAATTTTCTATTTTTGTCTCATCTTCCGAGCCATTAAATAATGTTCTCAAAAATTAAAATTTTAAAAATCAACTCACTACATGCTAGTTTTCCTGCTCTCATCTGTCTCAAGGCTAGGAATTTTCCATTTTCACATTTCCTCTAGTCAAGAATTAAAAGTGGCCTGATGATGTATTAGCTGATTGATGCAGGATATCTTGCTTGTGCTCGTTGTTCAAGTACGGGAACACTGGTTCTTATTAAACCAGTAGCAACAGTTAATGGTGGGGATCAACCTCTATCACCACCTAAAACTGAGAGATGTTCAAACTGTTCTGGCACGGGAAAGGTTAGACACCTAAACCTTTCTAATCTGTATTTATTTTTTCTTTTTTTACTCTAAGTCTGGAATAATTTATTGCATATGAGGAACGGTCCAGTGGTCTAGCGGTATCGGGTCCTTACTTTCCAAAGGGAGGTCAAGGGTTCAAGCCTCAATGGAGGCATGTGTTTGTGAGTACCAACTAAGAAAAAAAATTATTGAATATGGATGGGAGGTTAGCTATTTCTGCTTGCCACAACCATGTATGTGACTCATACATATGTTGTTGAAACAATTTCCTGATCAAACCAACTTGATTGTATAGATTAAAAAATTACTGGGAAGACGCATTATATAGGAAGACAGATAGAGTGGATGTTTTGGGGTCATTGTTGGTTGTTTTGGGGTCATTGTTGGTATTACGGTTATAATTGTGGCCTTTATGTGTGAGACTTGAGTTTGAGGACAGATATTTGCAAATAATCCAAAAAGTTAGGTCAATAACAAGTCAAATATAATGTTGGCATTGCGTAATGGCTTTTCTGTGTATACACGCACACACTCGTACACATATATATATACATAAAAAATTTCTGAAAGTTGCACGTACTTACCATGGAACTCACTTTGTCAACACTTACCCTCCCTTAAGTTGATACCTTGCTAGGAAGACAGATACCCACATGCTTGGTAAACAAGCCTTTTATCAGCTGAGCGGCTCATTGATGAGTCCTTGTGATAAATTAAAATTTTCTTATATATATATTTTTTCCCGGTAGATAAAGTTTAAATTGAAAACAGGAAACTGTACATATACATGATTGCAAGGAGCATAGCTGCATACCCCAGAACCTAGATAACAAAACTCTAGCAGGCCAGGAAGCCCTAGAGGGCAAGGAAGCGCTAAGGAAGGCAGCAAACAACCAAACTAGAAAATGAAACCAAAAGAAAACCGATTGCTAAGGATTTAGGAGGAGGGCTTTCTAAGTGTGAGAAAAGAAGAAGAGTCCATTTGGGGAAGGATTCCAAAAAACTGACATTTTGAGAAGAGCATTGATTAAGGATGGAAGAAGGATTTAAGATTGAAGAAATGAAGGACAAAAAGACTCTAACCCGTTTCCATTGATAATCAGCGATAATATAGGATACCTTAGCATTCTTGTGAATCTTGTTAACCCCAAGATTGTATGTAGAGTTGCTGGGTAAGGATTGATTGAGATTACCTCACGGCAACCAAGCGTCATATAAACAGAGTGCTACTGCCACTACCATTGTGAGATATCATGGGCCTGGCAGTATCTCTAAATTGGAGAATTTTTCTCCAACACCAAGAGCTATTCCTGTGGATAGAATGCTTCCAAAAACTTTTCATTTTGATGAGGTATTTCCTGATCCAACAGGACCAAATATTCTGCCGAGAATCTGAAAATAAATGCCGTATGTGTTTGAGAGTGGCAGCCTTGCTCCATGTAGCAAGCTTGGGAATGCCTAAACCACCTCTTTTTTTTTGGATAAGCAAACATTGTTTTATGAAGCTTCGGCATCAAATTGAGACCTTTCATTCCATTGAGAATTTGTTCCATTTGTTGAAACTTTGGAAGGAATGATGAAGAGGCTAGCCTAAAAAAGCTTGAAAACTGCAAACGACGGTCTTGATCAACTGAACTCTACCTACAAAGAAAAGGTACTTTGTTGCTCTAGGAAAATATCCTGGCAAGCAACCTGTCAATAAGGGACGTACAGTCCAAAGCTGAGAGTTTAGATGCGAGTAGTGGGACACAAAATCTCTCACCGGAAGATGACCATGCTTAAAGCCAAATAACTAAATGATTGAGCTTTTAATAGGCTCAGAAACCCAGAAAGAAAAATGAGACTCTTTGAAGGGGGATTAGGAAGCAAGCCAGAGAAGGAAGAAAAAAGGTTTAGGGCATTCTTGAGAACTTAGGTAGAGTGGAGATCACCATGAGACACCTACTAAAGGTCATCAATAAAGGAAAAGTTAGACATATCCGAATTTTTACGACTCCAATGGAATAAAAATTGAAGGTTTTCACTGATTAATTTGTTGATGATGGAGGAAAACCCATCCATTGCCAAAACAAAAAGGTTGGGGATAAAGGAGGGAAATGCATGAGCTCAAAAGTCCCAAAGATAATTACCAATTGATGGATTTATTAGCTTTTCTCAAATAAAATTTGAGGGCACATCTAACTCACACACACAAATACCCACTATGGGGCTCATACCCCTCACCTCTCCTTTGAGGGAGGAGAGATTATACTAGTTGGGGTAATGGTTCTGTGGTTACTTGTAATATCCTTTGTTGTTGTTGTTGTTTTTTTTTTTTTTTCAAGTTCTCGAATTATTTAATTTGATGAATTATGGCAGACACGTCACAAAGGATTTGTTTTGCAGGTCATGTGCCCTACATGCCTCTGTACGGGGATGGCAATGGCAAGTGAGCACGACCCACGAATTGACCCCTTCGATTAGAATTTTTTTTTTTTTTTTTTTTTTTTTTTCGATGTAATTTTTTTCTTCTTGCTAATGCGTCATTTTTAATTAAAAAAGCACATTCTGTACATATAAACTGTTCAATATTTTAACACACTTCTAATAAGATTTTCTGTAATCACAGAGCATCAAACTATTCTACCATTCTAGGGAAGAAGAATTATTAGTCATTATAGAACTAATCACAATCAGGATTTTCTACACCTGCAAAATTGTTAGAGACTGATCATTTTTCATATGGGATGACCACAATTTTTGCCAAAAATCAACGGAAAGATATCAAAAGGCTTAGAAGGTTACAATTTTGATCAATGTAGGCCAACATAATAAATCCGATGGCATCAAATGTTTTACGTATGACCATTGATAGAAGCATTTACCTTCACCAAGTGAACATATTTTGCAACAAAAATTCTCTTTAAAATCCTTTCATGTTCCTATAATCATTTTTTTTTTTTTTTTTTTTTTTTTTTTGACACTTGTATAACACTAATCTCTCGTGTCAATGTTGACTTTCACTTTCTCCCGAAGATGTTAAAAGGACTATCATACCCATTGTACTTTTATTGCTTGTTAACAAAAAATATTTGTTTCTCTATGGACATAAATAACCTTTTCAAACTTTTTAAGGGCAATCTTGGGTTTTAAATAAATATTGAGCGTGACATTAGCAGGCAAGAGTATTAGATTTTATGCCAGAGTAGATCAATTTTACTCAAACTTGAACAAGAGGAAAGTAGTTGTTATATTTGAAGCTAGAAGAAAGGTCCCTATCATTTAGGCAATCTACAAGATGAATTATCCTTTACAAAATAATAAATTCCCTTAGCAATTTCAATATTTTTGCATCTTCTTAATCGTCTTCTCCAAGCTAACTTGTGTAAATAGGATATTGGAAAGGAATAAAATTAATACGGAGTAATATAGAGAAAATAAAAACTGTACAGTTCTTGCAATGAATGTCCCATAGGGTTTCAAATGTTTTTCTAGTACGTCATACTGATTTGTATTGCTCAATCAAGTGAGAGGCATGGAGGCGCGACGTAGGAACCACAGTGCATCCCAAGCTCTGCAGATATGCAATCTGACATAAAACGAGGAGGAAAAAAACACTTGGAACTGAGTTAAAGAGCAAAAGAAATCTCTCCTGTTTACACTACAAAATTCAACCTAAAATGCAAAACAGGGAGTGAGAGATGCAACCTCAGCAGATTCCTGATGTTAAAACGTGAGCATTTATTATGTTCGTTCATGTAGCCACAAACAATAAATATATAGTGGGAAAATTATGTAAAATACAATACTTTGAAACATGAATATGCCAAGTTCAAATAAGATAGATGTACATCATAAAGCTAAAAATTCTGAATTTTAAAAAATTAAACCAAATCATGTTAGTCACCTGTTTAGAGGTAGGTGCCGATGAACCCATTGCCTTCTCAACCCTTAATTTCTGGAAGTGTTCCTGGAAGGTAATTAAAACAGTGAAGCACAAATATCTATAAAACGTCATGGCCTTTAGGAGTGAAGCACAAGGCTCACAATCCCCCATATTTTTTTTCTTTTATTTCAGACTTGGTATAAAAATCATATGACCTTAGATATCCAAGTAGTTTGAAAACTTAAATTGTGAAAAATCAAGGCATATAAGTTAGAAACTACATCTTGGTGCCAACAGTTCTAGAGCTCTTCATCTTATATCAAAAATATGCTTAATGTTAAATAGAACCACAAAAGTCTACCAAAAGAAAAACAAGGACAAAAATAAACAACAGAATACCAAGCTATTGTTTTGTGACGAATAATTTTCAAATGAAAACCCTTAGTCCCTTAAAATTTGAATCCACATCACGCCACATAGATAGAACAGATGTTGGTAAGAGTAACAAAACATACCTGTTTCTCCTTCATCAAATGAGCTCGTTTATCAGCAGGAATTTGCTCCCACCTCAGGACCTATTTATATAAAAAAAAAATAACAATAAAATCAATTTTGAACAAAAGCAATTGTGATTATGCATGTGCATGCACTAGTATGGTAAATTCTGTAAGTATAGTCATGGCAATATGATCAGTCATCATGACTATGGTCTCTTTATGAATTTTTCCCATCACAAGGTTTCAATTAATAGGCTAGAATAAAAACTTTAGTAGAAATACTTACATATTCTGCATAGTGAAATGCTTCATCACACCTCAAACAGGACTTCAATGCGCGCAAAACATCCTGACAGATTATATGAGTCAGTTTGATAGGATCAAGATACTAAAGATACATAGATTTAAGTGTTGCATACAAAGACATGCTTGTGCGCATGAGAATTCATCATGACAACTGCAGCAAACACTTTATTATACTTGATGTAAGCTTCAACATTTTTATACTTTGCAGTGATGCCCTCATTAAACAAGTTTTTATCCACCCAGGAAATCAACTAGCCTGAAGTTGAATTTTTTCCCTGTTGTTCCCCAATTTTACATCCAGTTATGCGAGACAATCTCAAAGGCACAGAAACAAATGATTTGGAAGGAAAAGGGGAAAATATTATTTCTCAGCATTATCTGGTGCTTTCGTTTAAGAGTTCTTTCTTCCTCTACTTTGACTCCCATAAGTTCACCAAATTCCAGAAACCAGACAATTTTTTTATCCATGTGTGCACAAGGGATGCAACCTGAGAGTTATTGGAAAGAACCTGTCTGGCCAAAAAGCCAGAAACACAATGACAAACTATGATTGTAAGAGAAGGATACAAACAACGGAGCACAAAGGAGAGAAGTGTTATCTTAGAAGAAAAAAGATATGTTGTACAACCTTGTGTGTGCTTTTCTTGACTCTCAGCCGTTCATCAATTACAAAGGCAACCTGTAAATATAATGCAACTTGTAAATACAATACATAAAACATCAAATAGTTACAAAAAACTCCCAGGCATCATGTTGAATGCAATTTATGGGTGACTGACAGAATGTAAGATTGTCAAATTAAAGGGGAAAAGAAAAATGCGTGGAAACAAATATGTTTACGAATACAAAATACAGCAACTGAAATCTTGGTGTGTAAATATTTTATGGACTTCCTAAGACAATTTACTACCACTAATACCCCATAGAATGTTGCAACATGGAAAAGAGGAAATCATATTTGCTAAAAAGTTCTTATTTTCAATGGAACACAAATAGGCAAGCCACTGGTAAAGAGAGGGTTTAGTATAGAGACTAGAAGTCCAAGAAACCTCACAAAAAAAGAAAATGCAAAAGTACAACTCTCACTTAAGCAAGAAACTTCAATCATTGTAAGGACGCAAACACAGAATTATCACAAATAAATCTATTCATTTTTCAAGTATTAAACAAAACACCATCAATATGACATAAAGGAAAACAACAGGAAAATCTCAATGCAGGAAATCCACCAAAATAAAGCAAAAGACAGGGAAGAAAGGAACAGAGAGGTTTTATTTTATTTTATTTTTTGGCTGTGGTTGGGTGGGGGTGGAGCGATGATGGGGAGAGACAACAGAGAATGGATATTTTTCAAGGAAAAGGTCAGAGATTATTGATAACCCCAGTGCTAATAAACATTTTTTTTTTAACTACAATGAGTTTATTAACCAACAGTCCAAGTCTAATCAAGCTGTAGCAGTCTCAAGGAGTTATGCTACCTATGAAATCTTCAATCACTATACAACTTCCCTACACCTTTTATCTTTTGTCCCACTTTTATCACATGCCAACTTCAATTATCACCTTGAAACTTATATTGTTGATATACACTCTACCACTGAGTTTTTAGAATTAGAAGGAATTAGTGATATTGCAAAATAATGGTTTTGAGGCTATGAAAGACAAGGTATTTATATATTTGATATGCACACTAGCACTGACTTTTTTCAGAATTAGAAGGTATTGATCCAACCTGTTCTGACTGTCACTGTAGAAGGCAGTTTCTACAATAACTATTGTGAAGAATCGATTGTGCAATAAAATGGGAGATCAGTGGATGAATGATAGCTCAGTTATGTAAATTGGCATTGATAATGAGAAGATATTGTCAATATATAATTTAGTTCATAAATATTATTTTAGTTACAAATTTTTTTATAACCAAGCTGCCGGAAAATGCTATTCTCCAAGAGGTGTGATATTGTCATTCATTTATATTTTGGTAAGCCAAACATAAGCAAGGTTGTCGCTGATGCAGAAAAGTTTGCCTTCTAAGTTCAATAAAATGGATTTCATGATTCAACACCAGTCTGCACATGGTTCATGAGAAGAAACAAAAGAAGAATTGCATAGAAGAGACTGAAAAGTAGAGCACAGAGCCAACAATTATTCTCACCCTAATTAGTTTTAGTAATAATCCATGCATTTAAGAGTATGAAAATACTCCTGTCTGGGCGGAGACAGAAATAACTGAAGAAATGACTTGAATTAAAAAAAAAAAAAACCAAGCAGATAAAACTTTCTTCTCCATAATGTATTTCCACTCTAGAGCAGAGTTTCCAGGATTTGAAATAATGAACATGAAGGAACAAAAATTCACCTTGTCAATTAACCTCTTAGGGTCTTGAAATGCTGGCTTCTTGGCCCATTGATGGAACAAATGGGAAACACATGCTCGGTCCTCGACACTGAATCTGTAAAACAGTAATAGAGAAAAAAAAATTTGAAGTCAAAATAAAATAGTTAAATTAATATCAAACTACTGAGATTATCAGTCAATGTACACATCCATTTTATATTTGGAGGACCTTCTTAAGAAATTATTCCCATTACATGACTCCATTGATTCCATTGTCTCTTTGGAGGCTTCATCATATTGATTTTTGACAGACTCATATGGTACTGAGTCTGCTTTAGAAGATTCCATTTCCCTTGATAGACAACCAGTAGACTTGGCAGTTCCATTTGGAATTTGTTGGTGCTTTGTTTGCAAATCTTTTAAACCTAGATCATCCTGAATACAACAATCACTCATCAAGAACAGATATGACCATATGAACAATCAAAATTGAAAGATTTGAGCAGCAAAGTAAACTAAAAACTCATTACGGAAAAATGGATGAAAAATAAAGGTTATAATTAGTTATTTCTAAATGATGTGAGCCCATGTGATGTCCTCTTAGAAACAATTTTCAACAAATTAATTGTGTAATTCTATTTCTTCACACTTCAGTGTAAAAATTAATTAACTGGCACTAACTTTCATGCAAGCAACATTATCTGGCATGACTCTCATTTGGTCTCCTACTAATTATCCTTTCCTGTCTTGAAACACTATCTTGTCTCCTGTTTTTATAAGCACCATTCAAGCAACAGCTGGGAGTTAGGGACATGTAATTCATTGAACTGCTATAAAGTTAGCAGTGTTTAGTGAGCACATTTGCTATTTGCTTCGGTTCCACAAGGCAATCGGTTTTGTTTGGTTTCAGAATTACGAAAAACCATGGAGATCAATTCAGTCACGGATTATCGCCCAGAAAAACCAATCAAAACCTAAACGCTGCTATTATATTATATATGCGGTGGTGTTCAACTGCTCCCTGGTGAGTAGGGAGTAGTATACTCACTTTTAATCCCAACCTTAGGATCTCAGCAATTAATTAATCAGCTTTTCTTATTCATATTTTAATAAACTTATTCTTTTTTTCTATTACCATTATATATTATTAACGGGAAATGACAAAACTAGACATGTGATTAAAAGAAACTAAACTAAACCAATTTGGCTAGGCTTTTCGTCTCACTACTTGCTGTTCCTTCCTGGGAAAAAAACGTGTCCCTGTAGCTAACAGCCGTTGAACCATAGAAGGCTAATTAAGAAATTTGCAAAGCAGTGGCTTTTGAAAAAAAATCCTTCCTATCGTTCGCAACAGGGCCAAGCTAATTAAGAAAATCGCAAAGCAGTGGTGTTTGAAAAAAATATATATATATCCTTCCTATCGTTCGCAACAGTGGCAAGCTAATTAAGAAATTCGCAAAGCAATAGCGTTTAAAATAAAAAATAAAAAAAATTCCTTCCCTTTGCTACCACAGTTCAACACTTCTGATTGTAGTGTGTTTCATAATTTTTTGTTACATAATTTATCATTAGAATGGATGAAGTATGGGAGGAAACTAAAAAAACCAGGACTTACTGATTACGTATGTAACGAAGGGAAGGATTTTTTATTTTGTTTCAAATGCTACTGCTTTGCGAATTTCTTAATTAGCTTGCCACTGTTACGAACGATGGGAAGGATTTTTTATTTTTTTATTTACAAACGCCACTGCTACGGTTAGCTTTGGGAATTTCTTAATTAGCCTTCTATGGTTGAACGGAGGTTAGCCACTGGGGTTTGTTGATTAACCAACTCTCTACGCAACTCTCTTCGTTGATTAACACAAATCGGTTTCAGCCGATAATGTCGTGCAACTCCCTCTAGCATTTTCATCATTGTCCTCACCATTTCCAGTGAGTTTTCTACAGTTTTCTTCTGTCTTTGTTCGTCTCTTCTCTGTTTTCTATTCACAAATACACACAAACACAGACTGGTATGGCTGGATTGTTTTGAGTTTGACTTCATCTAAGGTTAAACCGTTAAACCGAACCAATCCAAACCTTAATTCTACAGTTCAAATTGGTTCGATTTAGACAGTGTTATCAGTTCGAATGGGTTTGGTTCAACAAGGTGCTATCCCAATCTATATCTTTGCACATAATGCACTTGACGCATTCTCCATCTCCCTGTGTATTCTTCATTGTATCACTGGCATCATCTAGCTAGGTGTTATGATATGTGTTTCAGCTATCACCAACTTTCACTTTCCCTTCATGCTTGGACTCCTATAGATACAGGGACTCCCTCACCTCATTTCTCAATCTCATGAAAAAGGAAAGAGGGGCAATAATCATGAGATTTCCCTGGATTTTTCCTAATCACCATTAGTTCGATTGCACCTTTGCAAAGATAACCATGATTTTCACCCTAGCCAGGACCCTATACACACATAACACACCTATAAGTGGCATTATCCACAATGATGGTAATGCTAGGGGAGACAAAATACAAATATTAATGTGGGACAATATGGTGAGGAAATGCATGATGGCATGTGACTTCACTAAAATCATGACCCAAGATAACAAAATGGCAAAATAGGATTCATGTAATGGACTTCCAGTCCGTGTGATAAGGTTTTGCAAGAAGATATGTATGACAATGATATGAGTAAGAAGTAACTATAATATTCAAGCAATTACCAAAAAAAAATATAATATCCCAAACTCCAAAAGAACTAGACTGTTATATTTCCTACAGAAAAGTGACAGTTAAAAGTTGTTGAAGGATTATATTTAAGTTACACCGTCTTTAACAGCATAAGCTTTTGGAGTAGATGGTTGTTAACATGGTATCAGAGCCAAAGGTCTCGAGTTCAAACCTCCCCGTCACCCTAATTAAAAAAATTGAAAAACACGTGTTGGACCAAAAGAAGGCCACACGTAAGGGGACATGTTGAAGGATTTCTATATTTAAGTTACACCCTCTCTAACAGTTTAAGCTTTTGGAGTAGATGGTTGTTAACAAAAGCAAAACATACCTGGCCCTCTCGAAGGTGATCCGGGATTTCTTTTAGAAAGCGTGAAGGTTGGAGCATCTGTAAGAAACTACTGCTAAAAATCAAACAATAAGGAAATAAAAAAAAATAAAGTACCAAAGATTGTTAAGTAGAATTAACCTGCCAACTCGAATCCATAAGAACATAAAGAATGTACAGTTTCTTCCGAGCACGAGTCATTGCAACATATAATAAGCGACGCTCCTCCTAATATTTTCAATGAGTATCAGCAGTTGATAGCTAAACAAAAGATCATAAGAAAGAAGGATATGAGAAATATTTAAGTGCTAACATATTTACCTCAATCAAGGTATTATTGTCCTTAGTTACACCATTGAATTCATGCAACAAGGGAATCTCAGATTCATTCGCCTGTAAAGAATGACTTCATGCATAAGGAAAAGTGCTAAGTATCTAAAACATCCCTAATGATTACTTTTTGAGCAAATAACACCCTCTCTTTTACTTTGGGTATATAACTCCCTCAAGAATTTAAAAATGTTGTAAAGGACTTTTCGGCTGTTACCGTTAAAAAAAAACATGTGCCTGGCTCATGACTGGTTAAATTTAATAAATACCAAAATTACCCTTTATTGATTCCCAAAACGCCCTTCCCTTTTGTATATAAATCTCAAAAATAAAGGATATAATAGTAATTTTACATTAACTGATTTTTTATTTTTTATTTATTTACAATTGTAGGAAGGGCATTTTAGTATTTTTATCACCCCATTAACGGCCAATTGATGGGAGGTCCTTATTTGCCCCTACAATAAAGTTACGGGGTTTTGAGAACCTATAGGGGGTTATATGAGCTATATGCATAATACAGGGGTCTTGAATGCTCGTGAGCCTACGGAAAAAACAAAGTAATCATGATTAACAAGGAAAAGAATTAAGTAATATCAAAATGTTGCATCCCTCTCATCATTATCAATCCTTTACCACTACAATTCAAGCTCAGCATCACAAGTGATTTTCCAATCATATCCATCAAACTACCTCATGTTATCCTAATACCGAATTGCCAATCTGGTGTGCAGCTCAACAACTTGCAACCTGTGAAGAGAGAGTTCTAATCCTTGCTTTTATAAAACAATTCATTTCAAAACGCAAAATTGATTATGTTATTTAACCACTTAACCTAAAGTCTCAAGCTGTAAAGAAATTACCTAAACAATGTATATGTCCTCGCATCTGTATCAATGTATGTCAAAGCTTGTAACCTACCTTACATGTGACCTCTTTACTCTTGAAGAGACAGAATGACAAAATAGAATGCAAAATCAGAATAGGTAAACATATACAAATGTTTGGAATTGAACCCAAATTCTCCCAAAACCAAAGCTTAGAACCCATGTTGGAAAATCACCTGCCCTAAAAATTATGAAGGGTGGGCTAAACAATGTAAGTCATATCTCACACAAATTAACAATGCATATCAACTCTCACATACAAGGGTCTATGCACACACATACAGGAACAGCACAAAAATTAAATTTTGTCAATAAACATGATATCCCACTTGAAAAAGGAGATTGAAAGTCAAGTCAATGATTTATTCCAATGTACAGATCATGGTTGCTAAGAGGTCGACCAAAACTAACATGAAATGAAGTGATTAAGAAATTATTTTAAAAAATTAAATATAGTAGGAGATATGCCCTAGAAAAGATTAGAAAAAGAGAATCCATGTGGCCGACCTCATTTGGATGGGATAAAGGCAAGAATGACGATGATGATCAATGAGGTCAACCACTATTTTGATGCAATATATTGTTCTTGGCTTCAAACCTATAAGAAATGTTTATATTTAAAGAGTAGTTAACAAAATGACAGGCATAAAAAAGTGAAGGAGAACAGGCAAGTACCTTCACTATGAAAACAGTGTCCCATTCTAAGCCTTTCGACTGCACGGGAAGGAATATTAGGGAAACGAAAAAGTGAAAGAAAAGGAAAATTAGTGACATAATCAAACGTCTTTATTGACAAGAAAAAAGAACTTTGAGGAAAAATAGACAGAAGCTGTTTGAGCGAGAGGAAAACCTGATGAATGGTGGTAAGGGTGACAGAATCTTTATTGTCATGCCTCCTCGAAAGAAAATTTTCTCTCTCCCGTCCAGAAATATAATCAATAAAAGCTTTAAGCATATTAAGACAACCAGTATCTTCTGCTATAAGAGCGCTCTCTACTTCTATCGCAATATACTGTGTTGATAAAAAGTCAGAGACATCGTCCAACAGATACTCGAGGACCTGCATGATGAAGTAACGAATTCCAACATATCACACAATCATCTCTCTTTGCACAACCTTTCTGAGTTTAAGAAATAAAAATACATTGCAGACATTTCTTCTCTTTTGCCTCCATGAATGGAAACAAATCTTGCATGTTAATCTTGCAAGTCTTATTTATACGAATTAGATAGTGAATTGAAAAAGAAAACATAAAAAATAAATACTTGGGGGAAAATACTTTCAATTAAAAATGAATTATGTTTTTTTTTTTTTTAAAGTAAATTTTCTGAAGCAATTTGCAGCTATATAAAGTAAAACATTGACCGTGAGTAATACGTATCAACAGAAGAATCTACCACCTCTTCTACACAAAATCCATCACCAAAAGGCCTATTATCAAGCGTAATCAATAATTCTATAATTTCTATCTCCCCGCCCCCACCACCCCCCCCCCCCCCCCCCCCCCCCCCCCACCCCCCCCGGCGGTGAGATGAAGACCAAATTTGAAAGCCCAACTTGAAAGAATTATATTCACAAACAACCTTCCTCATTCATTTTGCATTTCAGCTGCTAAGGGCAGAATCAATGAAATGCCTTTCTTGTAGACATCTTAGTTAGTGTCCTTCAGTGATACTGAGTTGCAACAAGCAGCATTTCTTTTCCTTGGAATGCAAATGTACTTATAAAAAATAAATAAATAATCAAATGCATATGCAACCAATGATTTATATCGTCCTCGTTAACATGCATTTATAATCCAAATCTTCACGATAATGTTTGTCTCAACACTACAACACTGTTTTGGAAAATGTTATTGGGACTGCTGAGAGATTAATAGACCACTTAAAAAATTTCATCAATGCTCAAAACAATGTGCAAATTTTGGGTGAATATTAATGACATTGTGTACAAACTCCATAAAAGACACTATGTCTTTGATGAAATCTTAAAATGCGTAAACAAATGGATGAGTAAATAAATACTAATTATGACCCTTCACTTAACCACATATTGTCTTTTAATCAATTGCGTTGAATCTCAAGGTTAAAAATTAAATCTGGGAAGCCGAAACCTAGCAAGTTTCTATAATGAAGGTGATCTGAAAATAATTTGAGGACCAATAGGGCTACAACAGCAGGTATAGCAGGCAACATCATATGAAAAGAAAATGGGGAATGTGTAAATAACCAAAGCAGATGCATCGGATGGACGTCAAATAGTTGATATTACCCCCGGGGCTGTTTTGTGACAAATGCATAATGGCAATTTAAGGCAATACCAGACACTTTGGATGTAAGTCAGATTATGAACATAGAACATATAACTCTTAAGTTGATCCACCAGTTCCAGCTTTTATTAAGGAAATTTTGAGCTAGAAGATCTCATCTCTAGAATTTAAACACATGCTCAGTCACAATTGATCATTGCAATAAATCGATAGCTAAAACAACTAGATATAAAAGATAGTAAAGATAGGTAGAAAATAATACAGTTCTGCTTTAACATTGATACAGATAATAGCTATGTAGTTTACTGTTATAATTTTTTCCTAAACACATGCTCAGTCACTACAGAAAATAGCTATGTAGTACAACTTACAGGTCTGACGTCATTGTCTTCGTTTAGCAGTTTCCCACCATCAGCATCAAGAACTGCCCGTTGTTCAAGAAGGTATTTCTACAAATTGCAATACATAAATGTCAAATCATTAATTTGTTTATAGAAACATATAGAACCCAAATTTTATGATGAGGCTCAGCGTTACTATGAGAATACTGTTTACAAAGAGTCATGGTTAATATCTTATATGGGATCACTGTATGAGATACCACTTGTAAAGATTCACCGTCTATAGAAACCCTATTCTCCTAATTCAAATTTCACAATACCTCAAGTTTTTAGAAGTTCCCATAAAAACTCTCATTGTTTTAAAAAAGGTGCATATGCTTCTTATAGAGTGTACAGACCAAGTCAAGCCCACGTTATTTACAAGTTCAGAATCGAAAATTCGTTTTTATCATATTGGGGCATCCATTACAAGAATTGTGATGTTGTGGCTCGAATTTTGTTTCGGACCAGGTCACATTGTGACCCGTTTGATAAAAAAATATGACTGTTTTCGCTTGGAGGTCCATGGACCCTGTTTAGTACTCTCTTGCAGCCTGTGTCTAAGGGCGCTTAGGGTTTGGAGTGGGATTAGAGCGAACACTGAAAATTGCACTAAAGAGAGTGAGCGAGAGCTAGGGTTTGGGGGCTGAAACTTGTAATCTCCTGATTATCACATAGTGAATTCTTTCACCGGATCTTCACCGTAGACGTAGGCACAAATTGTGTCAAACCACGTAAATTCTATGCCTTATTTGGTGCTTTTTTTGTCGTGTTTCGTGATTATTTCTTGGTTCGCGACTGTTTGTCACAACAATAATCATAACATGTTTAAGATTTCAAAACTCAATTTCATCATATGGAAACATATGGTAAGCATCTAATCTGTGTCCAAGCAAGTTGTATTCCTATACAAGCCCAACCTGCTGCAGCTATTTTGAACTGATGGAACTAACTGGCCAGGTATGCTCCATGTATCTATATATCTATATATATTTAATATAAATAAATATATACATGTACATTAGGATAATTGTGTTAATGGAATTGTAGCGTACTTGTGTTAATGTCATACAGACAGAAATAAGCAACTTCAACCAAATCTATTTACGGAACTGTCTAAAATTCATATACCATTTTCTTGTAGTCTGGTGAAAAACAAAACCAACCTGAGGTATCATGTTCGCCACAGAAGTTATGACAGCTGAAATTGATTGTTCCTGTATGCAGTAGCAAGAAAGATGACCTCTGTTAATATTGCATTAAAATCTCTCTCTCTCTCTCTCTCTCTCTCTCTCTCGCTCTCTCTCTCTCTCTCTCACCGACCTTGTCGTATGAGAAGTTACCATAAAAAGAAGCTTGTTTCATTTATTCCCACCATATGGAACATCAACACCTTGGAAATTATACAACAAAACAAAATAAATATAGTTACCCTGCGAACAAGTTTTGATATCATGTCTAGTGTAGACAACACCTTGCGTCCTTGAGTAAGTTGGCTCCTGTAATCAATTATCGGAGTAAGTACATACTTAAGTGAGCCAACATGCTCCACCAGTGAAACTATACAAGCAAAAGTAAAATTATGCAAAGGCCACACCAATATTCTTATCTACCAATGTACTATCGGTGGTACAACAATTTGTTTTACGCAAGAACTTATACACATATATAAAAACTTTACATATCTAGGCTACCCTCTCATACTTTACAGAACAACATAATTCCACAGGCAAAACGACTTCTAATTGAAATACATTTAGCAGAGTAGGGCTTTCAGCCCCTCAATTTCCAGCATTACCATTTCATTAATATTTTCAAGCACCTACATATGGATGAAGGCAGTGGTGGAAATCATGAATATTTTTTTTCTCAAAATATGTATCACTTCCAATTACAGAAAGAGAGCAAAATAGTTGTGATAAGAGAGCAGCCTTGACTCACCATTCACCACACACCTAGAGAAACCAGCAACGGCAATCAATTATCATGGGAAAATTTTGATCAGACATGACAATGACAATTTTTTTGCTGCCCCAGCAGACCTAGGAGTGTACAAAAAACCACTAGAACCAGTAAACCGGACCAAACCAAACTGCACCGCACAGTTTGGTTCGATTCTATGATGGAATGGTGTGTTCCATTACTAAAGATTAAAGAAATTGATAACAGTTCGGTTCCGATGTGGGTCAAAGAAGACCGAACCAAACCAAACCAATCCGTTAGTGATGATTAAATTTATACACATACATTATACAACACATGTTTGATTTTTATTGGTAGAAAATATATCTTACCATACACACCACAATAATTAAGATCATCACACAAGTTTATACTTTTCAGATTTTGGTTTTTCATTTGATTATTATGAATATATATAAATGTGTATTATATATATAATTAAGAATATCCAAAACCGTGGACCAATCATCTACGGGTCGGGCCGGGTCTAACTTCTAAGCTTCGGAGCAGTTCTAATATTGCTTAAACCGTTGAGATCAGTTTGTGGTTTTGGTCAATTCCAGAATCAGACCGAATTGAATCTAGTGCACCCCTATTTATTGGTATTCCTCCTCATTGCCAGTATCAACCAGGAATAGTTTGGTTAGGAATTATGAATCATTTCATATTGCAACTAGAGCATCACATTTGTAATCCTACCAAGCCCCTACACAAATTCTTGAATGTATTTTATAATGAAATCCGGCACAATCTTGAGTTCTTTCATTTTAGAGCTTCTGAGAAGTTCTTTTATTCTACTTTCTTTCTTCTCGATTCAAATGCCAAAATGAAGGTGAAACTAAAAGAACACCTTCAATAGTCTCACTACAGGCAACCATCCAATAACAGCACTAATGAACATAATTCAAAGAATAATACAAGATATAGCTGTTTTAAAAGAATGTGATAGATGCAAACCAGGAGATTCAGTTGATCAGTTAGCATACCAGAACAAACTACAGTAATTAAGAACATGAATCATTATCCAACAGAAAAAGCACGAGGCACGCACAGTTCAGCTGACAAACTTTTACAATTATTAGGAATGCAGTGTATGGTGAAGCAACGTTCCTGCATTGAAAATGTTTGAACGAACCTCTTAAAGGTACCAGAGACCTTTGCACTGAAAATGTCCTGTGCAGCTGATATATAGCTGCATTTCCGTATAGTCGAAATTTTATCAATATGTTCAATTACCTGCAAATAGGAAGAAAAAAAGGTTACGAAAAACTTGAGAAATCAGTGAGAAATTACCATGCTTTGCAAGTATCCTTACAAAAGAAAGAATGATAATAAGTGTGCAGATGCTTGAAAAAACTTATAAAGAAGAAGAAAAATGAGCTAGAGAAATATAAACAATTCTTATACCTTCTTCTTTTCCTCTTTTTCAAAGGGTAGTAAAGCCTTGAATACTTGACGAAATGGTCCATCATCACAATGGGGCAATGTTGTTCTAAGCATGGAAACAATGGCTCTGACTACCTGTTATAATATACTGCTTAGTCAATATTGGATCATGCTTTGTTTGTTTGTATGTATGTGTAAGCAAAAAATTGCAATGGTAAGTCCAGTAATAAATTAATAAAACAAACAGTTAACTATAAAAAAATATGGGACAAATGCAACATTTTATAAAATATATGGCCAAAAATGTGAATATTGAGATGGATGTATGGTAAAACAAAAATGGATAAAATAGATTTTGAGAACATTCATGAGACGGTGGAAAGAACACCTATAGAAGATAAATAAGAAAAAACCAATTCAGATTATTTGATCATTCCAGTGAAGAGCAATAATCATGCCAGTGAGGAAGACTGACATGTTCCCCATTGTGTGTGCTTTTCTGAACAAGCTGTGGGAAATAGATATCCTCACATTATCTCAGATTTTCTCTTTTTAATGATGAATTTAGAAGGAGACATTACCCAGTTCTGGTCCTGCCACAGCAGGGTTCTAAGAAGGGAGGACTCAAGACAAACCCAAAATTTAGTGTTTCAAAAGTGGCTGCTCTGAGGCACAAACTTGTGTCAGTGACACCGATGCTCAAATATTTTTTTCCTTTGAACCAGGCAACTCCACTGTAATGATTAATTTAGAACAATATGTAAATTTTAAATGCATATGGATAGTGGCACTTGAAAGCAGTCTTCTCCTTCATCTCTTAACAACAAAAATGATATATGTATCTTCCTAAAGAATATCCTTCAACTTAAATGCATATTAACCTCACGTCAACCAAAATTATATCCAAAGAAGTTCCAGTTTTATTTGATTTATGAACTTCACACAGAACAAGAAGTTAACCACATGCAAAAAGAACATGTTCAGAAATTAAAAATTGCACATTCCAGTTTAAGGAAGTAAATAGAAATATAGAATCTAGCCATACTACTGAGCTAAAAAAATTATAACAATGGGACGAACCAGCAAAGCCACCAAATGAACTGCAATAGTGAGATAAAAAATTATAAAATATATATAAATATTCAAAGAAAATACTAACATCTATCATTGTTCTTGTTCACGTTATGATGATCAAACTAAGTTAAAGAAACTGAGACATTGGAACATATTACATATATAACCAGTGAAAGTCAAAATCCATGGATGTCAGAGAAGAAGATTTTCATAAACTGAAAACAGGATGTCAGCAACCTTTTTCCTATAGAAGGCCACACCATGAATGTTGAATGGTATTTTCCTATCACGGAAGGCTGTTTGGAACACTTTCCCAGATACCTAGATGAAAAATGAAGCCATAAACTATTCAGCAAAAATCATATGAGTAGTCTCAAGTACACCTAAGTGTGAAAGGATAGGCTTGACCTGCCTCCGGTAAAGAACAGCAATATTGCCAAAAGAGCACTTGGCAGATGAACCCTCAGAAGTAAATTCTAAAATCTTATCCACGACAAATCCACACTGTGCATCCTGATTATAACATTCCTTGACAATTATCTGAGCACATGATTTAAAGTATGCAGAATCAGTTGACAGCTCCAACAAGTCTTTAACTTTTTATTTAAAGATTTTACCTTAGATCCGCAAGAATTATCAGTGAGAACACTCTTCCGCTGGCAACGCCTTAAATTATTTTGTATAAGAGATGATGCGGCTTCAACGATACAACGGGTGGACCGATAGTTTTTATTCAGTCGAATCTGAATACAAATAAAAGGTATTTACATACACGAGCAAAAGAACATAAGAATGACAAGATTAGCTGGATTAAAGATAAAACAAACCTCCTTGTGGTCAGAGAAATCTTTACGAAATGAATCAAACCCAGAAATGTCAGCACCATTGAAACTGAAAATTGACTGCAATAAGAAATATAGAAATTTTGAATTCGAATAGGTAATAGTAATAATAATAAAATGAGTCAAATAAGTGGAGAAAAGGGAAATTTTTAAATTTTCAAACAAAAGTTTACCAAAAAATCAAACGCACCTGATCTTCATCACCAACAATAGTTATGCGTTTATGAGATGCAAGAATCCGCAGCAGACCATATTGCATGGCACTTGTGTCTTGAAACTCATCTATCACGATTGCTTTCCACAACTCCTGGCACTCCTTATAAACTTTAAATGAACGAGAGTATACAATCAAAACATGTAAAAGTTAAATTGCAGAAAATGATTAAATTATACAAAGGATGTAAACCTCCAGGAAAATCAGTAAGCAGCTTCACTGAACAGCTGATTAGATCATGGTAATCCAAAGCATTACAAGATCTTAATATGTCGTTATAGTGCTGAAGAATTGTATCCTGATCCAGGTTCAAGGTAAGAATAGTGAAACACGAGGAAAAGAGTAAAAAGAAAGATATCTAAACTGCTTAACATCTGCTTACTCCTGTTTTATCACCCGTTTCATGACAATCTTGTAGAGTCTTTCCAGAAGCTTTAGCCTGAAAATTGAATTGCAGTACAAAGATGGCATTAATAAACTATAGGATGCAGAAGTAACAAAAAACCATCCTGTGGCATGAACCGTCCTCTGGTAACCCTTAGAAATTTAACATAGAAACAGAAAACAAGAAATAGAATCATGATTTTAGTTTATCACAGCATGCAACAATCAAGGCCATCCAATTGTTCTGCCAAAACAAGGTGACAGACAACCCAACTTCTTAAGATTTACTTATTCGATTCAAAAACAGTAACTCCTATACTCAGAACCACTATTTCTATGCATATTAGTCAGTAATTCCACCCCTTCTGTGGCTCACATAATGTCCTAAACACATTAAGAATTGCATACCCTTATCCTAGCAAAAAAGAACAAGCAACCCTTCTTATATATCACAGAAAGAAACTTCTAACTAAATGCAAAATTTAAAATATTTATATTTTTACATGGGAATCATTAAAAGAGACAACATAATATTGTACATCTGTAACATTGAAAGGCCAGATAGAAAGTATCTACAGCAGAAGCCATGAAAGTATCACATGATTCAAATATCTCAATCATCAAGCGAACAACATTGCCCTAGAAGAACTCAATGATCAATAAATCAACTTGCCATACAATGAAATAGTGACAGAAATTTCCCTTAGCGATACTTACTTTCCAGGACACAACCATTCTAACTGCAATCCTCTTTCATATACTAAAATTTTCAGCACACAATAACTTAAAAGAAAAAAGGAGGAAATAAAGAGATGAATAAATCCAGTAGATTTGATCTAATCAAGCATGAGTCATCTTGCTAATATTCTGGACTTCACAACTGAATTCAGGGGCCATTACAATAATAAGTAAGGTACAAGTGGGTGAATGTTGGCACAAGCGAGTCCGGATGAGATTCCCAGGTCTTGTCAAGTGAAGAACAATGCCTAGGTGCTGTATCAATGTGGCTAGAGTAATGGTGAAACGCTAGGGGTGTGATGTTAAGCTAATATAGTTCAAGTTGCAACTATATTGACAATAATTGTTGATAGATAAGTAAACCAAACACTGAATGACATAACTTCAGAGTTTAAAATAGAACACAAGAATAGCAAAACCTGAGTTCTTCTCAATTAAACTAACTTCATTGAAACCAAATCTAATACTCAAAAATGTAAAATATTACCATCATTGCTCACAGCCCCCCACTTTATGCACTTGTTAACACATTAAAAATTGTCACATACATAGAAACACAAAAGAAAGTTCAACGCCCTAAGATCACAACATACAGACACAATTAGAAAATTAAAATATTTTCCATCAATAATTCTTGAATATCTAATTGAATAAGCTGTCAAAAGCAGTAAAACATCATATCTATGCTATATGAAGTAGAGTTTGTATCATGCCATAGGGTTATATATACTGTTTGTCCAATTTTGAGAACCTACAAAGCACCCTTAAGATACTAGCCACAGAAATATAATTGAAGAAAATTCAACGAAATAGCATGGTAGGGTAATATAATTCTGAGTATAGGATGGACCAAGTAGAATTTGTTTCAATCAATGAAAAATCCTTAGAATTTTGTAATTCTAATACAAAAAACTAAATTCTAACAAATCTCAACATAAAGACCAAGATAAATTTTGAATGGCCAAAAATAGATAAAATAACCATCTTGATGCTGAAGCAATTGGCTCAATAGATGATTGGGAAAAAGCATGGAAACCCCAAAATGAATGGATGGGCGCAACATTCATGCTGAAACATTTATAGTAATGTTGCTAACCCAACTAAGAAATTTATAGCGATGGAGGATGAAATAAGTCACTCAAAAGGTAAAAGAAGGTCGGACTGACAAAATTTACTCTGTCTCACAAAATGTAAACATGGGCACGTGGCTAATTCCCAAGTCAGCTATTCTGCAAACAAATACACCACGTGCAAGGGGAACTTTCTTAACTTGTAACACCATTTGCCATTAATCAATAGGCCTGATTTTTGTGAACTCATATATGGTGTTAGACTGAAATATTTCAAGGATTGGTTATTTTGGTCATGTTGCCTTTCCCTTTTGAAGAGGGTTCGTTTCTCTCTTTCCCTCTTCTATCTATTTCTTCAATCAGCCTCTTTCACCATTTCCACCCCTGACAACCACCACTGCCTCTACTCTCTCTTCTCTCCCTCTAAAACCCTCTCCCACCACAACTTTCAACCAACAAAATGCTAGCTACCACCTTCCTGTGATTTTTCAATGACCATGAATTCCATGATTCCGATGAGAGAAAGGCAAGATTGTGGTGATTCTTCTCCATTTCATGAGATTCTGACAACCATAAACACCATAGATTCCAGAGAGAGATAAGCATGATTTCGCAACCTTAGATTCAGGCAAAACAAATGCGATATTATGGTAATTGGTAAAATAATCAGTGAATATCCTCCTAACCACTATGAACACCACATCCGTTATCCAACAAAGAGTATAAAATCTTTTTCGCTGGAGAGATTTGCCAGCTGGCATATTTATTCTAAGGATTTGAATGACTATATACGAAAAGACGATTTTAATGGAAGATGTGAGACATGGAAGACATGCAACATGACAGGAAATATAAAGAAGAAAAGAGTGAAAGACGCTATATTTTCCAGCCAAGAAACTGATGGGGATGAGAGGAAATCTTAGATGCTTGCGTCATGGAAAAACATTGGAAAGTGGATATTGTAAAATTACATCCATATCTTACTAATGAGTTTTCCAGAATCAAATAATAGTGCTATTTGTCTTTTTAGTGTGGGGATATGCTAATCCTCCCCTTGTAAGTGGGAAGGCTAGCATTATCCTAATTGAAATGGAAGATGTTACATAGAACTAAACTTCTCAATCACAAAAACATAGCAACACTTCCAACACATCGTATAAACGTAAACGAATCACTTACCACTTACCCGAGTTACAAACTTCTGCCACTTCTTTGACTTTTCTTTGAAATATTGTGGAGAGTTTATGGCAATAGACTCTTCACCAAGTTTGGAAGCATCATGAATTTGCATGTTTTTTCCATTTTCAAATAGTCGTACAGCCTCAATGATTGCTCTTCTTTGTTGCCCATTCCCATATATCAAGAATTCCGGTGTACGATCTAACCTATTGCATGAGTTTAACACGTAAGTAGTAAGGTAGTTACATGAATTAAGAGCAACTTAAATAAGGTTGGATAACACGTAAAGAACCAAAAAGACAGGAAAAAGGAAACAAAAGCAGCTAGGATGAAAGTGCTATCTTCAATGCTTCCACGGACAATTTTTCCCGTCAGAAGCCATTTTTTCATTTTCATTTCTGAGGTAATGGATTAAGCATATGTTTACTCACAAGAAAGTTGAGGACTAACATATTTTACAGTTATTGCTAGCAAAGATCCAGCACTATGAATTAATTGTGTGTGTGTGAAAGGCAGGAGAACAGAAAGACAACTCTCAATCTTGAGCATGTAAATGATGCAAAACTCGTAAAAAAGAATTCATAGCCATCGTGAAATTGTGAAGAACATTGGCTCAAGAAACAAAAGTAAAGGAGACACCTACCTATGCATTATAGTCGTGAATTATAAGCCATTACACAATATTTTATGTAAAAAACAATAGGTATCATCATTTTTTTTTCCCTCATCTTGATGCAATGTCTTATTCAAATATGATAGAACATGTACAGTGATGTTGCATACAGTTTGTGTTGGTGAATTTGATATATACAAAAAAAATATTATTTCTGAAAGTCTCTAGAAGATCATTGAAAATTTTAATTCAAAAAAACTGTTCAGATGTTTTTAAACCTTAAGATTACAGAAAAGCATTTAAAATATGCTTTCATTTGTTTGCCTTCATTTGAAATAAAAAGAAGAAGTCTTCGTTCTAGATTGCTGTGAAATTGATGCCACTAATTTACTTCCACCACTGAATAAAAGGAAGTTTAATAACTCTATATTCATTATACACTTGAAGGAGGTCAAATGACACTGCTGTACGAATCTATCCTTTGAAACCTGCGTTCCAAAAACTGTCATTATCCAAACGTCTGCCAGTGGCCAATTGGTCATTAATTCATGTCTTGAAGATATGGTATTTTTTGTGAACTGTATGATCTATCAAAAAGAATCATGTCTCAAAGATATGCCAAAGTATTCCACAACAACTTACAAAGGAGTCCAATCAATCAAGCCTCATATCAATGAACCGTTAGAGCTAAAAGAATTGGCAAGAGCCACCAAGAATCTGCTTGAGTTCTCCATTGTGAGACGACTAACTAACCCTGTCCTCAATTACCATAAGAACTATGTAACAAGTTCTGCTTCAAAATTCCTCCAAGAGACAGAACAAATAAGATTAACAACATCAACTCTCAGTCGCGGCAATACACTTCACATTCTAACAATAAAGGTCTCTTAACTCCCAGTAACTTTTGGAAAATCTAGGCCCAATTCTATGCATTCAATCATATTTATGGATCATTCTTCAATGTAGATAAGAAGAATAACTTTTGCATATAGGCTTTGATTGCACCACGCAGCAAGCAGCTCCAAAGCAACAGTTGATTCAACAAATAAGCAAGTCACATATTAATTAGGAGAAATATTTTAAATTGTTTACATCAAGATTCTGTCAGAACTTGTAGCAAAAAGTTGACCTTTTGAAAAGCCCCAATACACACAAGTCAATTCAATGTTGTCATTATTATTATTATTATTATTATTATTATTATTATTATTATTATTTATGTCATTTTAAAGTTCATCTATAAAGATTAAAACTCCAGGAGAAAATGCTTCTTCCAATAATTTCAGTTAATTGAAGTTTAGATTATGTCGTGAAAAACAAGAAAAAACTAAACACAAAATTTGATATTTCCAGGTCAACTCAAATTACACATACTTCTCGGCATGTGAACGACAGAGTTGCAAGGAAAATGAGTGGAACGTGCTAATTGTAAGCTCTTTTGCAGTTGCTTTCCCAGCCACCGCTCCAATTCGATCTCTCATTTCAGCAGCAGCCGCTGTGGTGAAAGTCATGGCCAGAATGTGGGATGGACCAATGCCCTAGAAAAATAGCTCAGCTGATGAAAGTGGGGAAACTTTTTGCAAAAAATGAAAAACAAAACAAGAATCGAGTACAAAGAAACAATACAAGACCAATCACTTAGAAAAACCCAATGACCATTTCACAAACAAATTTAAGCATGTACCGTATAGTCAAGCAAATACATAGCAATACCTCATTGAGCAGCATCAAAATGCGTCCAACCATCGTAGAAGTCTGTCAAAGAGACAAGTAAAAGAAATGGCTATAACCAATGTGTGACGGGTTCTCTACCCCTGCGGGGATGGAAGGAGAATGTAAACTTGGTAACTTGAACAATAACAGTAAGGTGATCGAATACAGACCTTTCCACTTCCTGGTCCAGCAACAATCATTAAAGGGACTGAAATGTCACAACAAGCTGCTTCCCGCTGCCTGTCATTTAGAGACTTCATATAAGTTGCATACTCCTCAGGCATGCTCCCACTTTGGCTAACCTCTGATGTTCTTGATCCTGCTGCTCCACATTCTTGATCATCACTTGAATCCAAATTGCAATCAGTTTTTAATAACTCCAACAAAAAATCAGAATCCTTCTCGGCGATATCCTTACAACTACTCTTTGCAACAGATTGACTGACAATTGAAGAGTTACTGGTATACCCGTCACTCTCAGATTTCACCATTGACTTCTGCTCGCATAGATCATCAATTGCTTTGAAGATGGACTCATCAATATCCTCATCCAACCCACTGCAAGGTGTGAAAGACTCATTTAAACTATAATTATCCACCAATCTCATTGGAGTGATGCAATAATTAGACTGAAACTTTTCCTCCATGGGAACACCCATATCCCTTTCACTCAAACTACCATCAATTGGTTCTGTCCTATTAGCAGATATGCCATAGGAGCATGAATTGCCGCTACACTCTAATTGCTTCATTGGAGTTCTAAATGAATTTAGAGCTGTCCCTTTCTGCATAGCCACCTCCATTGTCCGGGCAGGAAAACTAACATCGAACTTATCGGCACACGTGCCTCCAGAACACAATCTATTGTTACGTTCACCATCTATTATCTTCAACGCCTTAACAGAAGTTAGAGGTGTATTCATCGGTATCTCTGAAAGAGGAATCCTTTTTGTACCAGAGATCTGATCCAGAGCTTCAACCCTGTCGGCCTCTCCATTTCTAGAAAATAGATTACCAAAATACAGACACATATCAGAGTTCACATCCTCTCTTATTTTACCTGATAAACTATAAATGTCCCACATGTTTACACCAAACTCTTATACGAAGCTTTAATCCAACATGCACTTTTTTATATTTTACACCAAATTTATCTGTTTGACTGCTAGGATAATGTGGGAATTATATAATTATTTGAGAAAAATTATTGAGTTTTCCATTTTTCCGAACCATGTGGAACAAAATACAGCACTCAACTTTATTCCCGTTAAACAACTTCACTGAGTTTAATTTTTTTTTTTTTTTTTGGGGGTGGAACCCAAACATTAAAATGACATGAAATTCAAAACATATTTCTCATTTCCTTTCATTCATTTTCTGGGAAACCAAACGGATTGTTGTATTTTGGTAAAGGAAATGCGAACTGGAAAACTTACTTTTGAGGAGATTGACGTGAAGTATTGACGATTTCGCGAGGTCTCTTGCGTGCAAGAAGGGCCTTTGCAGCTCTGAACTTCTGTGAAATTCGAGCCCTTTGTTCCGCAGAAAGTCCTCCAACAGCCACATTCTCCTCATTCATTTCCAGGAGAGCAAAGAGTAGACCGATATATATATATATATATATATATAAAGAGAGATTTACATGTTAGGGCAAGATTGGACTCATAAAGTTAACCCTAGAAGATGCAGTTGTATACTGTAGTGATTCAAACTGATGGCAATGCTCCTTCTTTCCCTCCCACGCTGGACTTTAAATACGTGCGAGTCATCGGTGTAACCCGGCCCAATATGAAACGAACGGACCTGTAGTCGGGCTTGGCCAACCTTTTCCCTACCCTACTTGTTGGACTTTTTGGGTAATAAAAATAAATTGAAAAATAATATATTTAGTAATGCGCGAACATTTTCATGTTTTGTTGAACCGAAGGGAGAAAGGAAGAAGGGTTATGTTTTTCAATCCGTCCAATTTTAAGAGAAAGAAAGGAGTGAAAAAATTAATACTACCTAACTACTACTAGTAAAAAATATCAATTTTCAAATTTAACCTTCTTAAAAAAATTAAAATAGATATAACTTTAATAATTTTATAAAGTGAGGATATGTTGGTAAAAAAAATATAAAAACTCTATTTCCCTTTCTTACAATCAAACCAAAAAAAAAAAATATATATATATATATATAACCTCATTCATTCCATTCAATCAGACAAAAATTGGGTGTGAAACATTTCTTCCCAAAGATATTTTTTCATCCCTTTGACCAAACGAAACATAAGAACCAATAAAGTTGGATTGGACAAACTCGCCAGCAAAATTTACCGGAGGCACTAACCCACTGAGTTATCAAAGCATTGTTATTAAAGAATCATTGATTAGAGTAAATAACTTGATATTAGGTGACGCGTGCTAAAATAATTATTAAAAATAAATTGATAATAATAATATTGGGTGGGCCAATCATATGCAATCATATTGGTAATTTTATTCAAAGAAAATGTACCATATTAATCTTTTAAAAATAATTTTTTTTATAGGTGAATGCACCAACTTTTATTGTATTGTGTATTTTCATTAAATGAGCATTATTAATGACGTGATTGCCCAATTCACCCAATTTATTGTATTGTGTTACTTGTGCATTGTTAAACTTTTGAAAATATTTTTTTATGGTGCTTTTGTTGTCAATGTTGTTTTCGGTATCTCATTTAACGGGAATCGGATTCCTTCAATAACACCCGTGGTCCATACCTCCATAAAGGAAAATGTCCTTTCCTTTTCGTGCGGCCGTAGTCGAGGAGGGAATTGAACCTTGACACCGGTTCGTAATTCGTAAACACGTGAAATAGGCATATTATAAATACACATTAGTATTAAATATATTATATACTGTATATATTATAACATACATATATATATATATGGTTCAATTTAATTTGGTTCTATTAGTTTTAACAATTTAATTTTAAAGAACAGTCCAGACGGATTTCATCCTAATACATTCCATGATAAAATAATAAAATATAAAATATAAAATATAAAATATAATCACTCACACATTATATTAATTAACTTAGTTAATAAAAAAATAAATTTATTAATCAATTGCTATTGATTCAGAAAACTCTTTTAAGAGCATTTAGGTACAGGAGGCTTGTGGCGATTACGAGGCTCTTTAGTGAGCCTTACACCATGTTGTGAAAACCACCGTCAAGTATACATTTCAAATTTCAGCGGACTGAAATTTTTGGTCATTGGCAGAATTTTTTTCCAATTTTAGAAGGTCATAACTCTTCATTTTAACTTTAAATTGGGTCAAATTTAAGCTCAATTTTAAATATTTTGAGTCGGCTTTCCAATGGTACCAACATAATTCCAAAATTCTGACCATAAAGGGAGTTATGACTATTTTAGTTCATACTATTTTGAAAATATCCTAAATCGAAAAGCCTATTTTTATTAAAACCATGTAGGCGCATAAAAATTTGGACCGAACGTGATAATTGCGTTAGAGAGATTTTACACTCAAACACTTATTCAAATAACATATCATAAGTAAAGAAAAAAGAGAAAAATAAGATCAAGGAAGAACAAAGGCTTATTGAACCGAGTCAAGTCGTGCTTCTCTTTGGGTCTTGCCCTTGTATTTCTAATACTTGCACAATGAGATTATTTTGGAGCCATTATTGAGCGCTACATATATGAATTTAATTTTCAACCGATTCCTTGTGATCTGCTTATTGAGCGTTACATCCTAGTCTTGTTGACTAAGGCTAATTGGGCTTGCTGGGCTGAACCTTATTCCTTGTGCCGAATTAGCGCATTATGCGCTTCTTCTAGGTCTTTGACTAATTAACATGATATGGGCTTCTTTTCTCGGCCCAAAGCGTTTAAGCAGCCCTATTGCTTGGTTTTGCTACCACGTGGCATTTTGTGAGTGGAGAGAAAATTTCCCTCCACAAACCATGTTCTTACATATAGAATCCTATGGAATGAATTTAAATGTCTGTGACTTAACCCCTTTTAAACAAATTCTTACTTTGTGTGAGTTAGCCTCAGGCCAAATTGTGAATTTTGACAAGTCCAGTCTATTTTTTTAGTTGAAATACTCCTTTGCCAACTCGAGTTTTATTGAGGGATTTACTTAATATCTTGAGAGAGGAGGCCAAGAGAAGTATTTGGGCTTTCTTCCTATAATAAGAAGGTCTAAAAGGGAGGTATTTAGTTTTATTGAAGATAAAATTGCAAAGAAAATTCGGGGATGGAAAGGAAATTTTTTATTGCCTGGTGGTAGAGAGGTGTTATTAAAAGCTATGTTTACCGCAATTCCCTCTTATGCAATTGTCTTGCTTAAGCTCCCGAGAATTATGTGTGATAGGTTGAAGAAACTATTGTCTCAATTTTGGTGGGCTGATTGGGAGGAAAAGTTTAAAATTCACTGGATTAGTTTTGAGTGTACGGTGAAACCTAAGTCATGTGGTGGGTTGGGTTTTCAGGATGTAGAGACTTTCAATCTTGCTATTCTAGCTAAAGTGGGATGGAGACTTCAAGTGCAGAAGACTGGTTTGTTGTATGAAGTTTTGAAAAGAAAGTGTTAAACACTAATTGACTCTAAAAGGGGGGTGAATAGAGTCAATGGCCAATTTTTCAATTTTACAATTTTAAATTCTAATTAACAATTTTGCAATAATCAAATAAGATAGACAAATAATTCAAAGCATAATTGTAAGAGATATAAGGATAAGAAATTGCAAACAATAACTCAGAGATTTGACGAGGTTCGAAAACTCTTACTCCTCGGCTCAAGATCCCTCTTGAGACTTCCCAATCCACTAGAGCTTCTCCTTAATGGTAGAGAGCAAACTTTCACATAAAGCAAGCCCTTGTTTTTCTTTCTTACTAGGAGAACACCCTTCTCCTATGCTTCTTTTGGGTCACACCAACCCTTACAAGTTTGTAACAATGTATATATTTGGAATACAAGATAGAATCTCTCTCAAGATAGATGTACAAATGTAAGCTCACAACTAGAGTAACTATATGAATGAAATGAAGCTCAAATCTCTAAGATGATATAAAAGAATGAGATATATAGAGTGAATGATCAAATAGGGACTTGAATGCTCTAGAATAAAACTCTTCAATTGTTCTTCAAATGCTCTCAATAATTGTGTATGTCTAACACAAGCTGCAGCCCCTATTTATAGAGAGAGGAACACAATATAGCTGTTGGAGATGAGGTATGAATAGTCTAAGTTTGCAGGTAGTCGTTTGATTTGATTTTGACTGTGTTAGTCGGCTAATGGAGTGTCTTCGGTCGGCCGAAAGTCTCTTGTTAGCCGGCTGATCCCCAATTTTCGGTCGGCCGAAACGATGGGTTTAAAAACCTAACTCTCTGTTTTTGAGACCTTTCTTGTCAGTCGGCTGATGTATCAAATCGGTCGACCGATGTATTTATCATAAACATTATTTTTCGTGAAACCTTTGTCGGTCAACTGAACCCTCATGTTCGGTCAGCCGAAACGTCTCTTGGCCAAAACCAAACTCACTGTTTTCTTTGTCAGCCGACTAGTGCTTCAATTCAGTCGGCCGAAAGTCCTAGAGTGTGAACCTCCTTTTCTGTTTCTTTGTGCTGGGATTTCAAAGTCATATTATGGACCATATATGATGCCATTTAAGTCATGAAGTGAGTAATGAATGATCCTAAGATACGAGCTCCATGAGATTCATAAATTACTTTAACATTTAAATCTAAAGCACTCACCAAACATATCTACCCCATTTGAATCGCCGATCTTGATTACTTTTCTTCTCCGTGTTTCATCTTTGAAGCTTGGGATTAAATGACTTGTCTTCTTTTATCCTTGGAGTGCATTGAATGGAACTTACTTGGTTTTACGTTTCCTTGTTTTCTACTTCATTTTTGGACTTCAAATGGTGAACCTGTTATATGTTCTCAAGGCAAATATTAGTCCTTAAAACATTATTAATGTTTTGTGATCGTCAAAATTAGTCTTAGGGTTAACAGAAAGTATTTTCCTTCCTCGGATTTTCTGAAAGCGGGAAAGGGGCATAATCCATTTTGGCCTTGGAGTAGTATCTTGGCATCTAGACTAGTGGTGGAAAAAGGGTTGCTATGGAAGGTATGAAATGGGAAAGTATTTTTTGTTGGGGGGATAATTGGCTGCCTAATTCAAAAAGTTTAGGCCAAACATTGTTGCTAGTTATTTTCATGTTTTTCCAGTTTATGATCTCATTGATGTTCAGACTGAGTCTTGGAAACAGACCATCATTTCTCAGGTTTTTTGCCCCTCTGATGCCCAAAATATTCTCTAATTTCCACTTAGTGTAGTGAAACGATAGGATCAAATGGTACGGGATATGATAAGTGAGTTCTCTTCTCAGTAAAGTCAGCTTATTTAGTGGCTAGCTTTGGAGCTTTGTCAATGGCAGGGATAAGATAGCGGTGCACAAATTGAAAGTAGTAGTGTTCGAATTTTGGAGAGCTATTGGAAAAAGTTATGGAAGATTACAGTTCAGCCTACAATTACTCATTTCCTATAGAGCTGTTTGCAGAATAAAATTGCGGTTTTTTAAATTTTGAAAAGGAAAAGATTGGTTGCGGATAATTTGTGTAAAGTTTGTGGCGGTGGAGTGGAAACTTTAAAACACTTAATCTGCGATTAGCCCAGAGCTTCCATGGTTTGGAG